TTTCAGAGAAACTGCTATGTTTATCAATGGATTAAGCCTTCCCCTATTTCCTTTAGTGGCTGTCTCATTGACAGCCGCTAGAGGCGCTTGCGTGCTTCTCACTGTGATTTTCACAGTGAGAGCACGCCAGCGTCCATAGGAAAACATTATGAATGCTTTCCTATGTGACCGGCTGAATGCGTGCGCAGCTCTTGCCGCGCGTGCGCATTCAGCCGACGGGGAGGAGAAGAGGAGGATCGGAGGAGGAGAGCTCTCCGCCCAGCGCTGGAAAAAGGTACGTTTTTTCCCCCTTCAGGGCACTATAGTGCCAGGAAAACGAGTATGTTTTCCTGGCACTATAGTAGTCCTTTAATTAGTTTGGACCCAGTAAGATTTCACATTCAGGCCAATCGATATGAGAAGTGCTGTAGTCATCTGGATATGTTATATGAAAGTAGGAAAATGAATTCAAACCAAATGGGGGGAGGGTAACTAACATGTCTTTCAAAACAATTTCAATAAAATAATCAAAACCACAGGGGAAAATGATCTGTCTTTATTTTTTTATTTATTATGTTTCTACTGGCTCATATTATGATCCTTATCTGTATCAACAGTTTGTTAGCGTTATCTAAACTGCACAGCATGTGAAAAGCCATGTTTAGTGGGGTTATCTACATTGTACGGCATATTGATAGCCGTTCTATACCCTGTGGTGGGGTTATCTCAATTCTAAAGCATATGCAAAATAGACTTGTGCATTCGGTTCATCCAAATTTGAGCCGTTTGGTGGGTTGGCCGAATTCCGTGACTATGAGGCGCCATATGACCAAAATACAGGGAGTGCAGAATTATTAGGCAAATGAGTATTTTGACCACATCATCCTCTTTATGCATGTTGTCTTACTCCAAGCTGTATAGGCTCGAAAGCCTACTACCAATTAAGCATATTAGGTGATGTGCATCTCTGTAATGAGAAGGGTGTGGTCTAATGACATCAACACCCTATATCAGGTGTGCATAATTATTAGGCAACTTCCTTTCCTTTGGCAAAATGGGTCAAAAGAAGGACTTGACAGGCTCAGAAAAGTCAAAAATAGTGAGATATCTTGCAGAGGGATGCAGCACTCTTTAAATTGCAAAGCTTCTGAAGCGTGATCATCGAACAATCAAGCGTTTCATTCAAAATAGTCAACAGGGTTGCAAGAAGCATGTGGAAAAACCAAGGCGCAAAATAACTGCCCATGAACTGAGAAAAGTCAAGCGTGCAGCTGCCACGATGCCACTTGCTACCAGTTTGGCCATATTTCAGAGCTGCAACATCACTGGAGTGCCCAAAAGCACAAGGTGTGCAATACTCAGAGACATGGCCAAGGTAAGAAAGGCTGAAAGACGACCACCACCGAACAAGACACACAAGCTGAAACGTCAAGACTGGGCCAAGAAATATCTCAAGACTGATTTTCTAAGGTTTTATGGACTGATGAAATGAGAGTGAGTCTTGATGGGCCAGATGGATGGGCCCGTGGCTGGATTGGTAAAGGGCAGAGAGCTCCAGTCCCACTCAGACGCCAGCAAGGTGGAGGTGGAGTACTGGTTTGGGCTGGTATCATCAAAGATGAGCTTGTGGGGCCTTTTCGGGTAGAGGATGGAGTCAAGCTCAACTCCCAGTCCTACTGCCAGTTCCTGGAAGACACCTTCAAGCAGTGGTACAGGAAGAAGTCTGCATCCTTCAAGAAAAACCATGATTTTCATGCAGGACAATGCTCCATCACACGCGTCCAAGTACTCCACAGCGTGGCTGGCAAGAAAGGGTATAAAAGAAGAAAATCTAATGACATGGCCTCCTTGTTCACCTGATCTGAACCCCATTGAGAACCTGTGGTCCATCATCAAATGTGAGATTTACAAGGATAAAACAGTACACCTCTCTGAACAGTGTCTGGGAGGCTGTGGTTGCTGCTGCACGCAATGTTGATGGTGAACAGATCAAACACTGACAGAATCCATGGATGTCCTTGCAAAGAAAGGTGGCTATATTGGTCACTGATTTGTTTTTGTTTTGTTTTTGAATGTCAGAAATGTATATTTGTGAATGTTGAGATGTTATATTGGTTTCACTGGTAATAATAAATAATTGAAATGGGTATATTTGTTTTTTGTTAAGTTGCCTAATAATTATGCACAGTAATAGTCACCTGCACACACAGATATCCCCCTAACATAGCTATAACTAAAAACAAACTAAAAACTACTTCCCAAAATATTCAGCTTTGATATTAATGAGTTTTTTGGGTTCATTGAGAACATGGTTGTTGTTCAATAATAAAATTAATCCTCAAAAATACAACTTGCCTAATAATTCTGCACTCCCTGTATAACAAAACCAGCCTGTTTATGCAGTGTCCTGTCATGGTGGCATTTTTTTTATTGGTTTGTGGACAGCAACTATATTTTTATTTTATTGAGATTGAATGAGCAGTGACAAACAGGGGGGAAAAGAGCAGTAAAAAACAAAAAAAAAAACTTACACTTTAGATCATATATATATATATTTATTTTGCCCTGCTCTTATCTCTATTGGTTATTTTTCCTTATGCATCTGTGAACCAAATGGAATGAAAATGCACCTATCTGGTTACTGCAAAATATATACATATAACTGTACTTTGTGGTCCACGCGCCCTTTTAGACAATAAGACAAAAATATTTTTTTCAGACAAAGTGAGTCGGCTGCATCAAATTTTTCCACCTCGCCCAAGTCTAGAGGAAAGCCATGTTAACCCTTTGGTGGCCAGTGTTACACATCATGCATAAAACATTGTCTTAAAATAACATTTCTGTCTAACTGTGATGCTATTAAAATCCTTAAAGGGACTCTCCAGTGCCAGGAAAACAATCCGTTTTCCTGGCAGTGCAGGTCCCCTCTCCCTCCCACCTCCCAATCCCCAGTTGTTGAAGGGGTGAAAAGCCCTTCAGTCACTTACCTGAGACCCCCGGCGGTGGTTTCGGGTCACCGCCTCTCCTCCTCTTCATTACGTCGGCCGGTGGGCAAGACTGATCCCGCCGGCCGGCCGTGGAGACCTAATGCCGCACATGCGTATTAGAGCTCTCCATAGGAAAGCATTGAATTGAGTAAGATTGGACGTCCTCTGTGCTATGAAGCAGGTAGTGCCCTCTAGTGGCTGTCTCGTAGACAGCCACTAGAGGTGGAGTTAACCCTGCAAGGTAATTATTGCAGTTTATAAAAAATAAAAAAAAACTGCAATAATTACACTTGCAGGGTTAAGGGTATTGGGAGCTGGCACCCAGACCACTCCAATGGGCAGAAGTGGTCTGGGTGCCTGGAGTGTCCCTTTAATTTCTAAAGTGCTGATATATTCTGCATTACAATACCAGGCACACTGATGTAGATCTGGAATTTCATGGACTAACAGACCAAATCAGCCATGATGAAATCTAAAATCAGGTGCGTTCTTTGTCTTTTCACCTACTACGCAAGTACAATTGGAAGGAGCTGACCTCCATTTTATTTAATGTATTGCATAAATAAAGCATTAAAAATAATGTTAAATCATAATATTTAAAGTTCCCAAAGCTGTTGCATTGCTATAGGCAAGAGTCAGAATTGTATTTGCGACACACTTTTGCTGGTTGAAAAAACACAGTTCTAAGCAACCTATCAATTTGGCACCATTGCTACATTATGGTGGAGAGAGTTGACTTCCTCCTTTAATGTGTAAAATTGGATACATTTGTCTCTTTCCTTAAATAAACACACATTGCAGCTATGTGCATGCACATCTAGTACCTTCACAGGTGGCGCACACAGCCACGTTCACAAAACTCTATAAGCTGTTTACTGGATATCTAGAATAGGTTGAATTCAGTCCTTAAAAGATTAACCAAAATCCTGTATTTTTTTTTTAATATATACTGGGCTTAATGAAAATCTGCACGCACAAATAAATTAAACAAAATGTAAACAAATACAAAATGTTACAAACTGGATTATTTAAACCACGTGTAGGGCACCCTCATGTGGCCACATAAAGGATCAGTCACTAATTTAAGTCTTTATTTATAGCATCTAAATTGAGATGAAAATTGAGCTCTGCATTCATTGTGATCATTGTTTTAAAATTGTTTGAAATTACAAGTGTGAGTTTTTAACAAATTTGTTTATATGTCTCAATACCCATGAGAAACGTTTAACATTTCATTGCAAATAGAACACTGTGCCTGCTGGAAGGGAGGGATAAATAATACAGATTGGTGCAACACCTAAAAGGGTTGCCTGCTTTGTTATGTAATATAGATGCATCATTTATGATTTACCCTGTGGATATTACATGGCTGGCAGAGAGTGTGGACCTAATGTAGTAATATCCCTTTAATAGCTCTGGATGGAGCATTTTACTGCTTCTTGGTCTCTTCAGTCTATTGGTTATTTTTTTTTTCCACTTTATCTGTTAACCAAATGGTGGAAAATGCTACTGGTGTACTACAAAATATATACACATCAGATGATATTGTGTACATATTCTGCATTACACTGACTGGCCCACATTAACGCCCTTCCCAAATCAATGTTGAGGAATGATTTTTTTTTCTCACTGTGTACAAGTATACTTATTATAAAAAAATATACAATTTATAAATTACATTAGCTGCAATGTAACCTACAGCCTACAACAAACCTACCAAAGTAGCACTGCAGCTACAGAATAATTTCATTAGAAAATAACTACGTGTCCCATAAACCCCTACTGAGAAGGCTTTATAGGTATGTACCCGGAGAAAACAAGGGAGCACCATGAATGGAGGAGAAAACACAGTTACTTCCTGTGACATTGCAGGCTCTTAGAATTTCCGCAGACAAACATTCAGAGGGTTCATTTTTTTTTATTGCTTTTGAAACTATAGTCAGTGTGTTGACTTACCGCAATCCCATTGTACAGCACTACGGAATCTGATGGCGCTATATAAATAATAATAATAATAAAACCCAAACAGCCTGGTTTGACATGAAAAAAAAAGTTTATCAAAGTTTCAAGTGTGATAAATATGGTATAGGCAATGTATGCAAACATTTGTAACAATTCCATTTACATTCCTATCTCATTATCCATTTATATATATATATTTATTTTGGTAAACAGATTGTAAACCTATTTACAGATAAAACGATAAGGAGAGAATGATAGAGAAAGCCGTATCATTCGTTCATTACGAGATCTAACAATGCCCACGTCACTTGTCTTACACCAACAAGCCCCAGTCTGTTTCAGAATAAATAACCCACAAATCCTATTCAGAGCAGGAAAACCATGTTACGACCTTTGGTTCTGAATGGGTTAGAGTTGAAGTCCATCCTTTAATATCAGTGATGGATGCTGAATCAATGAATCTCCTATGTGTTAGTTTTCTCATTAAAGGAACACCATTTAAAACATGCAAGTATTTTTCTGCATGTTTTCTTCGTAGGTATTTAAAAAAAAAAAAAAAAAAAGTTTGCAAAAGCTGCAGACCTGCTATCGGCAGTGTTTGCAAGCCCTCCCCCCTCTTTCTCCAGATCAGACTTTCAGTCTGTGCCAGGGAATAAACAAATCAGAGGCTTCTCATGGAAGTTTCTGTGCTGGAGTTGCAAGTGTGCATGCGCATGCGATCGCAGTGTTTATACAGCTCATTGAGAAGGGAAGAAGGCAGGTGCAGTTGCCACTTCCGTTAGACAGTCAGGGAGGTTTTCTTCCACTTCCTTTAGCTCCACAAAGCTGAGTGACAACTGGGGAACAATTCGGCACTCCGTTATAAAAGTGGCGACTTCTATCATAAAGCGTTGCAAACATTTCTGTCCCCAAAAACAGTACATTCATTGATACATGGCTATAATAATAATAATAATAATAATAATAATTTATTTATGCACCATAATTTGTTTCTCCAGAATGTAAAACATTTGAGCATTGAAATAAAATGTTTTAACAGGTTTGCGGAGAAAGAAAAAATGTTGGGTGAGTGTTTCACTGCAGGAATGTGCTCATCACGGATAAAAAGGTTCATCATAAGGATATTTGCTGTACATTGTTCTGGTCCAATGGTTGATAAAATAGTTATTCTAAACAATATATTTACCAGTAAACTCCTGCTTTACAGATACACTATATTCTGTATATAAACTGAATAAAATCTATTATCTTTTAGCTTTCGTTTAATAATGCCATGGATATATTTCCACAATTACATAATACCATTCACATGTATTGTCATTAATATAGAATATCATTAACATATTTCCACCAAATATCATTATTACCAAGTCTGGAGTTTTTGATGAATTGTCCAGAGACGGGGCTATATACAGGAATATATTGGTACCTTTCTCATCTCTTGTGCTTATAACATTTCCCAACATTCCCGTGACCTCCCATATAAAGCTAAAATATTTCACCAAAAGATCTCTGTAGTGGTTATGGTGCCAAGAGTCACCTGGCGCCAACTGACAATTTAACATTTACCTGGCTCCGTTGAGCACCCGGGCAGCTTCCCAGAATGGATCATTAAGTCAGGTGGAGGGCACCAGGGGACTCCGAGCACAATAACTACTACAGCACAAACTTATGGTTATTTTGCTTAGGGTATCCCTTTAAAGAAATATTAAAAATGGAAAATAATTAATTTTCAACAATTTAGTAGATATACCCCCAATGATAACATGGCTGCATTTTGTTGCTGAATTTTTTTTTTTTTTTTATCTTGGAGATATATCATCTAAAACCAGCTTGCAAAAGCTACAGATATATTGTTTGCAAGCCCTACCCTTTGCACCCAACCCAGACTTCCCAATGCAGCTCAATGAGAAGTTGTAACAAAGCTGGTGCTCTGGGCAATTGCTGCCTCTTGAGTTTAGCTCCACTGATCAAACAACCAGGAAGTAACAGGACTGGTCGTAAGAGCAGGTTTGAAAGTCAGGGGGTGTAACAAGGCTAAAGGAACACTATAGGGTAAGGAATACAAACATGTATTCCTGACCCTATAGAGTTACAAATGGCATATAGGCCTCTGCCCCCACTCCCTTCCCCCCCACCCAATTGTTAAAACGTACCTTTATTCCATTGCCGCACGGGTCTGCCGGTGCTGGCTCCGCTTCCTTGGCTGAGATCATCAGAGTTGACAATCTCAGCCAATCCAATGCTTTCCCATAGGTCACAAACATCTGCTGTGTCAAGATAAACCCTTAACAATTTAAGTATTTCAATTGAATCTGATAAATGTTACACTTGGTGAGACAATTTACTAACTAAATATCTATAGTAGAATGAATGTAGTGGAATAAACCATGGCTAAACACATATTCCTGCTAAATCATTTCATAAGGGGTGATGACATTTTTCGTGCGTCCACATTAATCAGCATAATAGCAGTAGTGCTTCCATGCAAGTGGTTTAAATACCATCATCATTGTCATTTCAGCCAGAGATATTAAAATACTTCTCCATGGAAAACCACCAAATTTAAATAATATTTAATAACAGTCAGGCTTAGGAATTTAACCTGTGAACTCCGTTATTTAAATTTGCATAGTTTAACCTTCCCTAACGATATCACCAATCAAACAGTATATAAAAAAAGTGCATTACGTGGGCGCGCACTTAAAGTTCATATTGCTTAGCAAGATTCCGAACATCCTCCGTCTTGACATTTTCACATGGATTTTCATAGAGAAGTGTAAAAAGTCTCTGAATTTCAGCTTTTTCGTTCTTGTTGAGAAGCATTAGCATCATCTGAAACAAATAAACATCCTATGAGATGCTTCCATTGTACGTACAGAAAAGGCAAGACCACGTTATTAATAAGCATGGCAGTGATGCAGGCAGTTTATTAATTCCAAGGCTCCATCCCCGTCATAATCTCACACTATGTTACAGATTACTGATCAGGATCCCTTGAATTGTGTAAACAGAATCTCCAATCTACTTTACTGGGTTCCCAAGGAATAAAATGATTCAGTTGCATAATCTGATATCACCCAATAAATTGAAATGTAGAAACTACGTACTGTGTTATTTACTTAAACTGAGCATCAGTTTTAAAGATAATTAATCCTCTTACAGATTACTACAGCATTTAGAAAACACTGGGCTAAGTAGGCCAATGCATCCTCGGAAATATGAGCTCCAAAGAAGAGCTTTCTGATTCTTGTAATACTTTATCGATGATTCTCAACTCGCCAACTCTGACCATTCTCAAGTGATCATGGGCACAGTTGCTTCTCCTATGTTTTTTAAGGTACAATTCGCATTTCACATTTAGACATACTTTGTAGCATTGTTTTTTTTAACAAGTCCTCAAAAAATCTTGGGTTCGGGAATTTAGGATGACCCAAGATGTGGCCTCATCATGGACATGTAATGGTTGTTGAATGAATGGGTGGGACTCACTGCAGTAAACCCCTTAAACCTTTTACTGCATGGTGGCATACACATACCTGGAACCGTTCTGCTTTGATCAGGTGTGAGAGGTGCTGGTATACCAGTGCCGGGTTCTGGTCCAGAAGATTGTGTGCCAGCGACTGTGCAATCAGCAGAAGAATATCTCCTTCTAACTTGTTGCTCAGAAACAATGGCAAGTCTTTTGGGTCTATGGACAACAAGAGTTCTGCACAGGCCCCCAAATCCTTTGCCGCTTTCACCTCATTCATCCGCTGGCCAAACTCATAGGCGTTGGTAGGTTTTGTAATCTGAGGCTTTGCTGCTGTGTTTTCTGATATGTTATTTTGATATGCACCATTTGGGCAGGAATTAATAGGTATCGATTCCTGTGCCGGAATGCTTTTTGCAGATTCTTCTTCCTGTTCAGATACCTATAGATAAATCGAAATAAATAAAAGGCATAAAGACTTGGCAGGTCACTAGGGGCACATGAATTCATCCCTTCCTAGTCCTCAGACTGTTTTATAACAATGTCTTTGTCATATGGGATGAAAATGAAGAATCTTTAGCAACTGTCCAGAACACTCTAAACAATGAGTGTGAAATAATTCATATAACTATACAAAGATGGAAATTATTTTTTTGATCTGACTATTCATACAGAAATATTTTGAATTAAAGCTTTTTTTTAAAACTGTAGATACAAATAATTGTATACATATAGAACACCCATCATCCATGGTTAATTAGTCTTCCTAAAGGGGAATTTCCTTAGAGTTAATAGGAATTATACTAATAAAGATGACAAATAAAATAAAACCAGGAAGAAACGTTTGATCCATCCATTGTAAATCCCACTATAAGGGGGGATTCAAATACTGACATAGAACCAAATAAAATATAAGGAAGAATAACGTGGCTGTGAAACGAAAAATGTGATTTCAAATGTAGGGTATTGTTTGAGATGTCGAACATACCCATGCTGTTTCTGGCCTATTAGAGGATCTTATTAATTGGTTAATAAAGCGTAGCTAATTCTCTCAGTCAGCACGCCGGGACCAAGGTAAATGTCAAACCATGCTAAAACAATGTATTAGATTCTGCTGGGATGGCGGCAGCGCATTCCAGGCACCATAACCACTGCAACCGTGTTCCTTAAAAATAACTTGAAATTTGAAATACCACATGCATAAAAGGAGTCAGTAGCTCTATTTTTTAAATTTATTTCCATTAATATAATTTGACCCTCAAAAGTCACAGGGCTTGTCATGCAGATTAATTACGGTATATTGTAAGTTATAAAGGATACAAAAGAAAAGTGATGCTTCCTCTTTAATTCTGAAAATTCCTGGCATTCCCAACAAAGTGAGACAGGAAGAACCACAGCTATTTCCAGTATAAATCCAATCATCCCATAAAAGCGCGTCCTCTGAGGTCAACAAGGTATTAAACATCTAACAGACTTACAGTTATCCTTCAATTAAGGCCGTTACGTGGAACCTATTACACACTGGTATAGCACAGAGAGCGAGGACTACAGGCTCTCAGTACACACACACACACACACACACACACACAAACTCACAGTGCTTTAAATTTCTGATGTTGGAATACGTGTGTAAATATAACAAACTACAAATTCAGAATTGTACGTAATTATATGTACAGATTATACACACTAAATGTATACTTCGCAACACTGCAAATGGCCAAGATCCAATGTTTTTATCTCTACAGATTTATTTGTAAAAAAATTTAAAAAAACATTCTACCGTAGACTCAATTACTGAGAGGTTTATTGTGCAGTAAAGCATTTAAAATACCACAAACTTGGAGTTTTTAGAAGAGGGTCGTTATCACACAAAAGAAAGCAGGTTATGGCATTTGGGGACAACAGAGGGACTGTCCTGCCTAAACAGGGACACCTGGGATGTATGCTAAATGATCTCATTATCAAATCATATTTACACATTCATATATCTCAGCAGTCTCTGTAAGAAGAACACATACTCTGGTTAGTTACTTCAATTTAAGGACCTTTGTAAACTTCAGGCAAGCCAGTTGTTAAAGCCTTCTCTCTTGTTTTTTTTTTTTTTTTTTTTAACCAAGATGCGGTTTTAATGTAGCTTTGCTTAGCCTGGGCTTCTAGTTTTCATTAGAATACAATTCCCATAACTCACTGCAGTGAATAAGATGATTTAACTTGGTGATGGACTTTGATCTGGAGGAACTCATCAATAGATCTAAATGGTATAAAACCTGGTGAGGCCGTAAGGCAGCATCGCCATGTCTTATGGGGCCATTTGTCAAGTGTACTCTCTGTTTGTGTACATGACCATTTGTGACTAACTAAATAAAAACGTCAGCTATGGTAGGAAGTGTACAGATATTATCTACCAAAATACATTCTGTCCATACAAACAGCCTAATACAAAGGCCCAGGACAGAGACACGTGAAGCCATTGTTCAGTAAAAGCATGGTGTTTTCCAGATAGACACCACTCCATTTTAAAACCCTTTTCAGTGAGGACCAATCACTGAGTGGCGGAGATGGCAACTCTATCTGGAATCAGAGGAAATCTTCAATTTACATTCACAGACAGATTATAAGGTACAAATCTGCACAACAAAATCTAAACAGTGACCCAAAATCACAGAACAAACTGTGTGTAACATTATGTGACACACGTATGCGGCAGTAGGGTTTATCCACTAAACAGTAAATTGAAAACTGGAAATATATTTTGCAACTCTGTTTTTAATTCCTAGCATTTACAGTTTAATTAATAAAGCTGTGTGTACTATCATGGTTTGCGTTATATCCAGAGTCACATTGCTTCCAAAGCATTAACTTGTATCAATGCACAAAAATATATATTTTTTAAAACTAGTTTGTGAAGTCGGTTTGGAAAGCGTGCTCTAAACCCTTGCATTCTAGGATCACCTTATTAAGGAACACATGCACACATATTGTTGTGCTTCCACACAAGCACCATCACACATGCCTTTTGGAAGCTCACCCAGATACCTTGGAACCATCACAAGCCCATTGACCAGAAACTGATGGGCCCATTGTAGGAAGCCCACCAGAAAGCTTTAGAAACTGGACAGCAGCCGGCTATTGATAAAAAAAAATCTAAAAACAGGTAATTTTTCATTTGCAAATTGTAAAATCAGTCAAAAACTTATCATTATGTAAAATGCAAGTCATGATGAGTCACTGACATTGCTGTGTTATCCAATTAGAAGAAGACGTACCTCCTCTATTTCAATCTTTTTTCTTAGTTTTCCCTGGCTACCGGAATGGAGACACGGAGTTATTTCATTCATCAGTGCCAGTACTGCAGGGTTCTTTGGGTCCAGAGAAAGGGTTTTTTGTAGATCGCTGGCACATTCTTGATAATTCTGAAATACAGGATTTGGCTTGTTCAGTATGGTGGCTACAATTACCACTAACCATTCCCCAGAAAGGTTTGGTTGTTCCTGGTGTGTCTACAGTTTTATGAAGAATGTTTATAATTAATTACCAGGTACATTATAGGTTTCTTATTTATAGCAATGTTGTCAACACCCCTAAATAATACTGTTTGTCTACAATTTCAGCTTTGTTCCATCTTACCGTTTCTACTGCTTGTCAGCATCCCTGACCGATTCCTAGCAATAGTCGAACTTTCATAGTGATCGAAAGTCTACATACACCACGATTTGTTATTTGTTAAGCTTTAAGCTTTTCTAACTACTTAATATTCTTGTATAAAAACTCTTGAAAAAATTTTTCAAAATATCAGTATATTCAAATAAATACATTACAAAAAAAAAGATATATATAGTATATAGTAAAATATCAATATATTTTAAAAACTTGTTTATAAATACACTTATGTTCAAAATGAAATGATAACCTCTCGAAAAAATAATGAAATGTATATATTTTTTTTAAACGTATTATAAAAAACTTTTTTTAAACTTTAAAAGTCTATTCGAAAATATTACATAATTTGAAACGCTTATTGAAAAATATTAATTTAATAAATTTAAAAAAAATTCTCAGGTACAATACTATAACATTGCAGGAGACATAATTCTCCATTAGTGATCAATCAAGATATGGTAAAGGGATTTGCACAGACCCAAATACATTTACAGCAGATAATGACTTTAGAGGCTCACAATTTTCTATTATTCCACAGTAACTGCTTTCACAATGACTGCCATCAGAGTAGCAGCTAACACACAAACTGAAATCAACAACACAGCATCTGAGAAAAAAAACAGAAGCTTTCTGTAATCCACCTACCGTCCGTTTTAAGAGGTGAGTATTTTATACATAATTAAGTAAATGAAAGGATTTAAAATATCGTCTTTTTTGGTTTGATGAATATCATTTTAGATTATAATTTATTTTATTTTCCCTAAAGAAATGTTGGCTATGAAATATAACGTTTATTAATATAGTATTCACAGCCCCAGCAGGTTTTACAATCAGTTTACAAAAATTGCTGCCCGTGGTCACAGGAATTCTGAAGTGATGCTGTAATGTTCTGGCTGCCAATATTCCTATTTACCTCTAATCCTTTGTGGGCCTGTGCTCGCCTGTACAAAGCTTTGATATTTGAGGAATCCCTCTGCAGAGCACATTCACAGTCACTTCTGGCCTCTTCATATTGGCATAGTTTCAAGTAACACAGGGCTCTATAATAGAAAATGTAGGATCAGCTTTAAAAGAGCCATTTGTCAGTTAAGCAATTTTACAACCTTCAACGGTGTTTGTCGTAAACAAATCCAGGGCACTCGTCTTATGTTTACTGCATACAAGAGTCGACATCTAGATGTACGAAATGTAACATGCTTTCAAGAAACACGAAGCAAAAACAACAAAAGCAGAGGCACAAGACATAAAAGACACAATGGGAACAATCCATTGTTTGTTCCGATTTAAGACACACCTTTGTGCTGGTCTTTTGTTCAGCTATTACCATGGCTTATGAAAATTGTGTCCTTACACTTTTAATCCGACTCTAAATTGTGACTTCTGAAGGTACTAGTTGTTGAACAGCTATGGATCCAGCTGACATGATTATATTTCTAAGAATCGAAATTCAATTAAAAGACCTTTATAAAAGATTGTAATATTTTTTCTCCCTATTTCTGTGAAGTTAATGGTGACGAAGACGGACATCAGAGAGGCTTGCTAAACTGGTACTTAACCAAGATATAGGAAAAGTATTTGTACAAGTCTCAGATTTTATCTATGCCAAAAATAAACTAGCAAACAAACCCCATAAAAAGCCACAGGTTGTTACATTATGGGGTGCATTCAAAAAGCCATAAAACATACATTGAGCTGTACACGTCTGGGTGATTTAGCTTCATGCTGAAAACACCATTAAACGTCTTCCTTCACATTATGATGCAATATATGCCCAAGTCATATTTAGTATTACGTTTTTTTGTTTTTTTTCTACGTTTAAATCAATGCTTAGTCAGATGGCTAGTATCTGTATAAACACAGAGGTTTGTCCTTAAAATAAAATATTCTAAGATATAATTACATGCTCCGTCCCTAACAGATGCTCTGTGTTCTATGTCCAACATGCCTCGCAAACTTTACGTCACACAAAACATTCAGAGCGTATGTGTGCAGAATGCCGCTAAGCGGAATAGCAGCAGTAATTGGGTCAAACTTTAGTAATAACCAAGTCTCCTCATGTATAGTTGTCAGGGGTTTAAATGGGTCCATATAGGTTTATAACAAAAGTCACTAACAATAAAAATCGAAATCCGTAATGTAAAATTACATTTACTGCACAAGCCAACCTTCTGTTTATTTAATAAGATTGGGACTGATGATTTGGTGTGTTGGTTATTGAATTCTTTATAAACAGAGTATAATGAGCTGGTTTAGTTTATAGCCCTTCCCTACTAGTCTGTTGGATTGAATGCGTGAATTACTCAATGCCTCTTAAAGCAGACAGCATTCACTTTAAAACACTGAACACGTGAAAGAGATTCTACCTTCAATCATGTGAAGGATAAGACCCAGCACAATTTAGGGCTTGTTATTGCAAATCAACCAGCAGGTAAAAAGATCAAAATCTCTTCGGAATCTGTAAAGCCACGTTCCAACATGTACTGCATTGAGAAGCCCGGAATATGAAGCCATGTCTGTTCTAGTAGGGACATCAGATTAAATACTAGAGCAGAGGTAGGCAACCTTGTAGTAGTACTGTGCCAAAATGAGATATTGAAGTCCTTTGGTGTACCAGTCCTGTTTTTTTTTTTATTGATGTGTGTACGTTGCTGTATTGTGCTTGTGTTATTTATGGGTGGCTGCAGTAGCTTTGCAGTGTTGTATTTGTATGTATATGTGCTGTTATATTGTATAGGTTTATGAGTAGTTTGTGGTATTGTGTATGATAGATATGAATGTGGGCTGTGTGTACGGGCTGCTTGTTGAATTGTTTGTCTGGATGATATGTCACATTGTGTATTTGGTAGTGTGTGTATGTGTAGGGCTGCTTGTGGCATTGCATGTAAGAGGCTGCTTGTGGGGTTAAGTGCGTGTATGTGGATTGTCAGTGGTGTTGTGTTTGTGGGGACTGTGTTTGTTTGTGTATGGGTTGTTTGTATTATTTATATGAAGGTGAGGCTTATTCTGCAGCTCTGTGCATATCTAGCAGTGTGGGTGGCTTCCCTCAGGTCAGTAGAGACCGGACGGGCCAGGTACAGCTCAAGGACAGGAGCTGCGATAACTGATGCAGGCTGCACTACACCAGTGCAAGTTCCCGTTCACAAGTGATCTATGTGCTGCAATGCATAAATTGAGAATTGTTCCTCATCACCTGCAATCACTGCTCGGCTACACTCACAGATATCTGAAGTCTTACTGGTAATCCTGATAGGCCAGAGCCTGTTTGTCTCTTGCAGCCTTGTGTGCCATACAAAATGCAGCTCAAGTGCCATAGGTTGCTGAGCCCTGAACTACAACAACTAGCCTTTGGTCATTTTTGGCATTATCCAAGGAGAGATACATTTAAAAGAAATGGAATTATTGAATGATCCGTACATCAAGCAAGGCTTGACATTTAAATACCTACACTACCAGGGATGAATTTTCACTCAACAACGGGTAGTGACAAGTGGAATCCCTTTGTCCAGTGTAGAATGTCCTGCATCCAGTGTAGAAAGCCATTGTGTAGAACCAGGGCCATCTTTAACGCGGGGCAAACGGGGCAACCAAGCCCAGTTAATCCTGGGGGGCCCAAAAGCAGCTGCCCCGTGGGCCACGCTGCCCTCAACAATTAATTTTTTTCCCCACCATGGGCTTGCCGGTGCAGCTGGTGACCCACACACTAAGGAGGCCCATGCACTTAGGGCCACCAAGTGGCATTGTATCAGCAGGGGCCCTGGGAGGCTCTGTGGCCCTTTAACAGCATGACTAGGCCCCTTATTTTTCTGCAGCCTCTGAGGAAGTGACAGCCGCAAGTGTGATTGCATGCCATGGAGTGGGGGGCAGGTTCCAGGGTGCCCAAGCAAATGCTTGCCAAGGGTCCAATTAATATTAAAGACGGCCCTGAGCAGAACATTTCATACTGTGGGTTTAATGCCTACGATTTCCATTCCAGCATCCTTTACCTGAAATGAAATGAGTATTTAAAGGGACACTTAGCGTAGTGGTTTTGATTCTTATATGCTGCCCCTTTTTTCAAACAATAGAATTCATTGTAAAACATGTAAATGTTTACATTTGACATAAAATATGACTTTACTGGATATCAGACCTCCTTACATCCTACAATTTGTGATGGACTTCACATTCAAGATCATCCTGAAAAGCATGATGACCCTGAATGTGGCCTTGAACCCTGATCTCAGGAAATGCATGATGACCCTGAACACAGGACTGGCAGATCACACAGATTGACACATATGGCCATCATGAGGCCTCAAAGCTTCTTTGAGCTGGAATAAAGGTAGGATTTCCAGCAATTTGAATTATAAAATGAAAGAAAACAAAGGGGGACACAGCAATCTAAACATAAAAGGAACAAGTCATCATTCAATTAAAGGGACACTCCACTGAACCAAATACAAAAATATAAAACAAAATTACCAACACTGTTTAATTATGCATTTTTTTCATTGGGGGGACCTCTAAAACAACTTGCAAAACCTACAGTTATCTTGTCTGCCACCTTTGCAAGCCCTTCCCTTCTAACCCCGCCCAGACTTTCTGTGACTGTCCAATCACAGACTTCCCAACGCAGCTTAATGAGAAGTCTTTGTAAGGCTAATGAACACAGTAACAGCTCAAGGTGAATATCCATAAAGTCGTTCAAAAGTAGATCCAATTACCGGTTTGTGTATATCGTACAGTCCTCAGAATTTAATGCCAAACATTCTGTATATTTCTTCACAGCTTCTCCGTATTGACCATGCTGGACGTATTCATTTCCTTCTTTTTTCAGAGTCCGGAACGTCTCCTCGACTGACACACCTTTACAAAGGAAGATCCAAAATCCAAAATCATTCGGCAGTTGAAGTAGGTTGAATTAGTACATTTTACAGCTTGTGAGTTACGCACAAAAAGGAGAAGATCGCATTGAAAAAAAATTATTTTAAAAACCGTACTCATCATTTACTGTACAATAAAATCACTGGACTGGTCTCAAAGGATATAAATAATATTTCTAAAGGCAGCCAGAGGGTATGAAGAATTATTTTTTATTCATTTCCACTACTTTACAAGTGCTTTTATTTTCTCATGTTTTTTTTTATTCTGACTTTATTTAACCAGTGCTATTATAGATTATCTGTAGCCCCTAACTGTTGAGATGAATTTAGTTTAGTCTATAAACTCCTTGTACTAGTTTTATACATATTGCCATCTAAACATTTCCAAGAAGGAATTTTATTTTACACTCTTTATTTTTCAAGTGCATAATTGTACAGATAGGAATACGGTGAAATTTCTCAGATGGTGTAAACATCAGCAAAATGTATATGGATTGTATGATATGTCATTAACATAGCACTTATTTTTATGGTAATTAGAAGAAACATGAATAATATAACGATTGCCAAATTAAAGTGTGTGGAAGCCACCCGTGGGTCAATTGTCTAATTGAGTCAGTCGGTCTCTTAACTTTGGAGAGGTATGGGAGTTGGTAGTTGTCCGCCAGGGTAAGTACGGATAAGCAGCCGTGTTATTGTATGTTATAGAACTTCTGCCCTGTGTTGCATAACCCAGATGTATTGCGTCTTGTGAAGCATCTTGTGGATGAAGCTGTGTGTTAAGGTAGGTTCGTCTGTGAGACCTAGGCTATTTGGGTTTGAGTGGATGGTGCGCAAGAGAAAAGGCCCTGTCTCAACTGGAGTCATACATAAAGAAGTCTGTTTAAAGGTGCACTGCGATGATTGCTGCTCCGGTAGGTCCCCCATTATGTTGGGTGACAATTGGTGCGTGTGGACTGCCCTAACCCAGGGCTGCCCTGGTGTAGTCTGGGTTAGTATGTCGCCCTCGTCAAGAAGGTGTGAAGGTTGTTTCAGGTGGCGTATGTCTAGTCGAATGGAGCCATTACTGGTGGCCACAGTGATGTTGGTAGAAAGAGCCCCAGTGGGGGTAGAGTCATATGTAAGTCCCCTAACCTTGGGGAATACGGGAGAGGGGGAGGTATTGTTGTAATCGTTTGTGGCCATCTTGGGACTGAGAGCCCCCAGTTTGGTTAGTAGTACTGGTTGGTTATCTTGTGCCAGGTGGTAACAGGGGAAATTAGCACTGGTTAGCTACCCTGTGCCAGTTGTATGAACAACATTTAACAACTTTAGGACATAGAGAAACAGAAGTAAGAAAGATTAAGAAAACATAAAACAGAACATGACAGTGTGGTAGATCATGCTGCGGGTTTTCGCAGTCAATTCAGGTCGGAGCTGCTTGACTCTCGCTTCCTATAGGAGGAAAGGGAACGGTTCTTGGTCTCAGGTATGTGAGGTGGAAGGGGTCGCAGTCGTCACCGCTCTTGCAGGGATCCCCAGGGCTCGAAGGAAGGAGTCAGCTTCCGTTAGTGTGGTATTCCTAACCCTATAGTGTTAAAAACACATGTAGGATCCCTGCCCCCCACCCCTTAAATAAGTTTTTTTTTTTTTAAATCACATTTTTTCCAGCACTGCGCAGGTCCGCTGGCACTGCTTCCGCCCCTATCCGCCTCCATTGGATTGGCTGTGATGATCGATTCTAACGATCTCAGCCAATGGGGCGGGAGCAGGGCCAAACGTCACTCTAGCCAATCAGCATCTCCTCACAGAGATGCATGAATTCAATGCATCTATATGGAGCGTTCAGCGCCTCCATGCAGACAGTGGAAACAACAGAGGAAGCACCTCCAGTGGCTCTCAGAGAAGTAGCCACTAGAGGTGTTCCCAAGCACTAATGTAAACACTACCTTTTCTCTAAATAGATGATGTTTTGGGATATTTTTGTGTGGTAAATAAAATGGAGTTCTCTGGAAGGGTCACTGGCATCAGCCGAGGTTGCCTTCTGAACCCCCATCAGTGTTTAATTAATGTCTACAACTTGCACCACAGCAGCATGCAATCAATAGGTACCCTGCTACTAATTACTGCTAAGCACAAAGATCAGACACTAAGCTATTCCGCTTGCGGCGAAAATAAATATAGTCATTTTAATGGTGGTTTTAGGACCTTCAATGATCAAATAATAAAATTGATAACAATAAAACAAATCAGTTTAAAACAGATTTAGATTGATGAATATCAGCATCTATAAGAGAACTCCAAGCAGCCAGAAGTGAGAAGAGACTAGGTAATGTCCTGTAAACTACAAACATGGTAATGATCATAGACACTGAGCAATATGATGACTGAGACCGAGACAGTCACCCAGGTCAATAATGGCAAAAAAGTTTATTATGCTTAGTGTGAACATGTGCTTAATATGATGAACTGTGCAAAATGCATTGGAAATAGGTCTGATTCCATAATGTATAAGGAAATCAATGTCTTGACCAAACCCTGCAAACATCCTAATATTGTGACTTGTTCATGAAAATTCAATTTGATGTCAACAAAGCCTTTAATTCAGGGCAATTATTTAGTTTAACATGGGTTATACTGCTAGGGCCTTGATATAGCAGTAGTGTTTGCATTCAATTCCTATGGTAATGGTCTGGAAGTAATTGTTTAAATATGTTCGAAATTACCCAAGAAAGAGTGCCTTTTTACGGTTTGCAATCATCTCAGACCTTATTGGAAAGTTCTTGATTGCTGATGTAATGAAAATATTTGCATAGTAGGACAACAAGTGGAACAAGCGATGACTCATCGAAGTAAAGGGCGTCTAGATTGTGTATATTTAACCTCTCTTACAATAAGTGAGTGATAGACAAGCGTTGACATTTAGTGTTTAGACACAGCCTATCAGAAATAAGGAGAAAGACCTTATTTACTTCCTTTCTGAAAAGTCTCCTCAAGGTGAACGGGATCCAGACAATCCACAAGACAGCCCTCAGCTTCAAAAAGGCGAGAGATATATGATTGATTGTAGGAGAACCAAACCTATTATCCACCTCTACACCCTATTCACAAAATCTATCAAGAAAACAAAGTGCTATCCTGTTCATTTCTGATGCTCCCTATCTACACTGTATGCCAGGAAAAGGAGGACATTGAGCTGTCTGGTTAGGTTTTTTTTTTTTTTTTGTCTCTTTCATTTCCTATATAGTTGGATTTAAACACTAGTTGGTAAAACACTTATTTTTACATACCATCAAAACTTAAATGGATTGGCGGATCTCCACCATGAAGAAAAAAAATCCTCGATCCATAGGTAAAGATAAATGTTTTTTAAACCAAAGTGAACGTATAGTTACGACACACAGGGGGAGAGTGAAGATCACCACTGACGCATTTCGGCTTATTAGATGACTGCCAGTGAGGCACAAAACACACGGACGATGATCTTCATACACTTATACACTTTAGAATAAAGAACATTTATCCTTAGCTATGGATTGAGGCTTTTTTCCTTCATGATGGAGGTGATCTGGCAATCCATTTAAGTATAATGTGTCCCTGCAGGTGCACTACCCATATGCATCTCCTGGGATTCAGGTACATTTTGCTGTGCTGTACATTTTAGCATGTAATTTTGTTGTTTCTAGCTACACATACATTTTTCGGAATCGTCATCTAAAACCTAAATAACTTCCTTTCTCCTAATCTAATGCCTATGCTAGCTAAATAAAGCAAACCACGGTAAAAATGGTTAAATGAGTCTAAATTAGTTTAATTTAAATGCAAGTCACAAAGATTCACTAAAAAAAAAAACCATTTTTAAAAAAAAAATAACGATCAATTCTAATTTTAAATGTTTGCTCTAACCTTTGTGTTCACACAAAAATTACTTTACAATGGAATGGCAAAACAAAAAAATAAATTAAATAACAGAAAGAGGTCACATTGCTCATGTTTGAAATAATCTCAAATATAATTTGCTGGGCGATGCAGGGGTCATTACATTTTGTGTATATTTTACTGCAGAATAGAAGAAATAAGGAGATTTGTTTAAGTAGAAGTTGTTTTTTGCTTCCTGATGTAAGATTATTTTATATTTTTCTGTTAACACTAGGGTGATAACTGTGGATTTATTATGTGTTCCTTAGATGTGATATTAATAAAATGCTTATTATGTCTAAAAACATTATCCATATCCAGTGTGGAATCCTTTTAAAATTAAAATATGAATTTGTACCAATTTTTTTCTCTCTATTTATTGAATAGTTATTCCGTATGTTTGAATATCTAGGTGAAAATTATGTTATTTTATTTATTGAAAAAAAAAAAAAAAACACGTAAAACAGGAAGAAATGACAAACTATATTTCAAATGGTTTTTATTTTCCTTTCTAACAGTAAGCCTCGTGATTGGATTGTGAATTTTAAGTGTATTGGCAGTGACGGGTCATCGGTACAGGACAGGCTGCATTCTGTAGTTTTATTGTTACCATAGCAATGCTGCAGTTACATAGAGATAGTACTGATATCACTAGACCAGTGGCTTCCAGATCAGTCTTTGTGCCCCCCCACCAGTACAGATTACCCGGTTGTGTTTAAGGTGTTTTTATTAAAATTCTGGACTGGTAGGGTTGCCTTGAAGGCTGGTTTGGGAACCACCGCACTAGACCATACATTGAGAATATTTCATAAATGGTAGCATTTTTATTGAATATTCACATTGACTGGGCTGGAATTTCATTGAAATTACAATACAGTCAAAAGATATCATAAGACAAAGATATCATAGGACTGCTTTGTTAGGGGGGGCGTGGCCAGCCGACCTACTGAGCAGATGTGCAAGTGTGGAGCTCCCACTCCATACACTGAAACTACTCCTTTGCTTGCCATGAATTTGCCCAAAAACCACATTAGAGACTCTGCTACCCCCCTCAGAGGCATGGGGTGAAAATATAAGAAGCTTGTCCGCTCTGAGAGTGCCTCTCCAAGATATCAGGCAATCTTTCGAAAGACCACCATCACAAGGTCAGATTTAAAATGATGCCCCCGAGAGGCCTATAGACACGAGCGACTGATTGCTCCCAAGATGAAGACATACATCAGAGACCGCAGGATCCTGACAGAGTGTACCAGTGGACTGAATCCGATGCAGATGCGTCGCCCTTTACTAAACGGGACATTAAGAAACTTCTCCTGGACCTGAGAGAGGTCTAGGACGCAGACCTGCAGGAGTATAGGCTGAGGTCGGTGGGCTGCGGTAAAGGCTGGGAGACGTCGAGTCCCGAGAAGGAGACAGAGAGCGGAGACTAACTAAAACCCACTCCTAGATGGAGTCCCTCACCACGCAGGGACCGCACCTTACCCACACGGTCGCATTTTTAAACGGATCCGCGGAGCGCGAGAGACACAAGCCCCAGAGGCACTTATGGACTTCGTCCACAAAGTGACACAGGAACTGGAAGTAAATGGGGAGGGAGACTCACTGCTCATCGTGTCAGCCTTTAGGATTCGAAAGGCACCGACCGCCACTGCAGACGCACCCAGGGACATAACAGCGGTCACCCACGACATTACTGCCAAAACAACAATCATGGCACACTCCAGGAAGCACCCCACTGTAGCAGTGGACAAGTTACCCTTTTCCGTACAAGACTTACCCTTTTCCGTACTAATGGAGAGACGCAGGTTTATGCCCATAACCAAAGCTCTGAGGGAGCAGGGCATCAGGTACCGATGGGGAGCCTCGGGTACCCTAGTGGTGCCGGGAGGCGAGTTGATCCATATCCTGTCGGCCACGGAGGATCAAGCGACATTCCTGAAAAAAGTCTCCAGGTGCCATATGTCCCTTTGGCAACAAAACGGAGAACCGCTATCCCCGGTGTGGTGCCGGAGCTAAGTCCTCAGATGGCAGAGGAGGCTCGCTCCCTGCAGCTACAGGGCCCCCCCCATAGAACACTTCTTAATGCGTGTTCTCCAGTCTGCAGGCTATAAAATCAGCCCTACTATACACAAGAGCTAAATTGATCCTGACGACAAGGAATAAGTTTAGAACTTAATGCATGTCACTTTCTAGATAAATTAATGTTTTACTGCTGAGTACTTCTCTTCCTCACCTGTCTAAGCATAATATGAGTGTTATATTTTACCTTTCATATATCTGTTTTACTATACTGTATAAAGCACAACAAAACTTTGTGGCTTTGTCCACAACTAAATAAAATTTTTTTTAAAAAAGACTGCTTTGTTATAGGTACAAGCTGGAAGTTTTGTGAATTCCCGCAGCTAGCGACAACGGTGGGAATCAGCATTCTCGCAGATTGCGACATTTGGTCTATGGTGGATCCTTCAGAGACATCCAGTTTGTACTCTTGTGCAAGAACACAGCACTGACACAGTTTCTGGTAGATGAACTGCAAGGAGCAAATAATGGCAGTGCCATCGGGAGACAGCTCCAGGTAAGTATATCTAGCTAACTGCACTCCTATTGGAGATGTATCCTTTAGGAAACTCTACAAAATACATTATGAAATATGCAAAGACCCCTGAAAGTGACAGAGCTGGTTTAATTTTATCTTCAACAAAACCAAGACTCTTGAAGACACAGGTTGCAGAGAGTCCTCCCAGTTACAGACAAACTAGCTCTGTCAACCGGTGTCCAAAGTACTGTGGTAATATATAGCAGGATCCCATATGAGCTTGAATGAGCACTTAAGCTTAATTAAGCTCATTTGCTCAATTAAGCTCAAAGAAATTGAACAGAATGAATGAAAAAAAAAAAGTAGGGATTCTGTTTTAGATTTTGGCAAACTGTGGTAAGAGCAGGATCTTTCTTGAGCTTACACTCGGCGTACCCTGCCATTACCCATCGGCTATTCCTGGCATTGCACTCTACATGGGCATTCCTCCATCTTGTGCGCTAGTGTGTGTAATGATTCACCTGCCAAGCCTTTATGAACAGTAATGAAGGTGCCTAGGAAGAAGGGTCCTAGGAAAATACATTTCTCTTCCTCATCTTCTTACCTAGGCACCACCATGCAAGTGGACTGGTTACTTGAAGGCTTTGCAAAAAATGCAAAGATGACACATGCTTTACCAAACATATTTTTAGTTTAGTGAAACTCGCAGTCAGTTTCAATTGCGCTTTCTTTGCAATGACCTGTATTTACAGGTAAAAAGCTTTGATGTTCTTTAACTTTAAAAAAAAAAAAAAATACTAATTACTTTAGACCTGGTAAACAAGTTATGTACAATGGTATGCTAGTCCAAAGCCATGCTGGCAACAAAATTTACAGAGAAATGTCCAAGGAGAATACTAGAGAGTAGATGATTTAATCCTGAAAGGTAGAGAGTTATTTTAAAAGAGGTTAAAAATAGATTTAGATGAACTTTATCAACACGACCAGTCTAGCCGTCATCATGTAATTAATCCAGAGATTGTCCATCCCCAATCTAGTCCCTTGAGTTTCTGTAACTTAAAAAAAAACCTTCTGTCCATTCTACAATGGTTCAGTTCCTAAAATCATTATTAAAGAAGATGCTAGTGAAAAATGAGTCTGCTGAGAAAATTATTTCAAAGTACTATGAAAAAAAAAAAAATGTCAGATCATCTGGACTCGTTTCTGTTCATGTTAGCAGTTTATCAAGAATAATGGAAAAAAAAAAAGTGGTGATGCAGCATCTTTGAAATTCCCAATAAACAGAGGATGCCATTTTGTTATTGGTTGCCATTACCCGTTACATTTCCTGGCTGATTATTTTCCACAGGATGGACACTATTGGAAGCTGTGATGTTGCCTTCTTGTCTTTGCAAATGAAAAGAGCCTGGAACGGATGGAATTGGGGGTAGTTTTTCTCTCCAGCTGGACCCATCTTGATCAATTAATGTCCTTGTGATTCTGTTTTAAAGACAAATGGTATGTTATTGTCATATTCAATCACCTCTACAATATATACAATATAATCAATAAATATTTATTTTGATTGTCATTTGTAGTTATGGTCTCAATTTAATAAGTTTTCCAAATGATTCAATGGAGTTAGAAACAACTACAGAAGTCACATTTGAAGTCTATGGAATTTTTGTAGATAAATCGTTTTGAAAGTTTTTTTCTAACACTACTGAATCATTCGGAAAGCTTATTAAATCAAGGCCTAGGTCTGAGGTTAGAATAGAGATGGCAGATGTTCTGAGACGTTAGACAGGAGGCAAATAAGAGAAAGAGAGAGAGAGTGGGTTCCGAAAATGGGAAACAGGACTTTCATCTCCAATTACACACTGTCTTGCACATAGACCAGACATGAATAGACGGCAGGATGACTCTTTATTGGTTATAAACGGTCCGGTCTAAATTGTCTTAACTACACTTGTACCAAATGTATGGATACAAAATAAATATTACCACAAGATTTCAGAGTCATCAACAGAGAGAGAAAGTCTGCTCTATGAGAGACATTTGGACCACGGAGAAGGTAGGAGGGATGTCGGACGGGGTCTGGCCCTGCGCTTGATTCCATGTGAGTTTTAACTTCTTTTTTTCTTTTCACAAACCCTTACTTTAAACTCATGGTAGAATATACTGGTAAGTGCTTTACAGAAGATTTTCTCATATAAAATATGGAATTTCAGGGGTAACCTAACCTGGCATTTATTAAGAAAACAGGCAACACAGCTTTCTATTAATAGAAGCAAAAAAAAAAAAAAGTTTCTTAAATCGTTTTAAATGATCTTTAAGCAGTTATATAGTCTTGCTCCCACCTGCAGCCCGAGGAGGAATTTAATTTGCAATAAAAGGAAATCACTTAAATACGTGACTTTACTTGTCATGGAATGTTTTATATACAATTCCTGAACCTCCAGGAAGAATCTCCAACATATAAATGTTCCTTTATTACATGCAAATAATGCACAGGAACAGAGCTCTGTTTGTGTGCATTCATAAATCATTTAGACATGCAGTTTAATGAAGCACTTAGTATTTTATTGCTTTAGTCATGGGATTTCAATAACCATAAAAATGAATTACAGAGAATGGTGCAGTAGTTTGATCGAATAAATGAAATGGGGGGAAAAAAAACACACCTGCTTATCCCATGTAATATAAATATTGATTATGCACTATGACCACTGACATTTTTATAAAAAGAGAGCTTTTTAGGCACACATGACTTTAGAATTATTAAAGCTAACCTATGGCACTTTTGTTGTTGTGGACTACATTTCCCATAATGCCCAGACACGCGAAAAAGCATCCAAAAATACAACAAGATTGTGGATCAGCAACGGAGATATTTGAGGAATATGTACAATTGGGAGCCTTGATTCAAAGTCTGGTGTAACATTCTATTATTATCCCAAATTACCACTGCCTTAATTAACCCAAAGCCCTAGTCATGTTGCCTATAACAAGACAACCTAAATTATTCATGCTCCAACTTGCTCCCTACATTCCTCTATTGGTCAAAAAAATTTCTAATTACTGATAATTGTCTCTGCTATGCAATAGACAAAGTTAAAAAATGTTAAAAAGAAAATCCATGTTTTAAAGGAACACTATAAGGTCAGGAATGCAAACATATATTCCTGACCCTATAGTGTTAAAAACACCATCAAGCCCCCCTGGTTCCCTCCTTGTCCTCCCTAAATATAGTAAAATCTTACTTGTGTTACAGTCTTCTGCTGCTGGCTCTGCCCCTGATCTGCCTGCTTGGCTGACATCATTAGAAGTGGTGATCTGAGCCAATCACAATGCTTTCCCATAGGAGGCAGATTAGAGGCAGAACCAGCAAATGCCAAACACAGCCCTTGTCAATCAGAATATCCTCATAGAGATGCATTGCATCAATGCATCTTTATGAGGAAAGTTCAGTATCTCCATGCAGAGGGTGGAGACACAGAATGGCAGTGCTGACCACTGTGCTGACCACTGCCCCAGGAAGCACTTCTAGCAGCCATCTGAGCAGTGGCCAGTGGAGTTATCACTAGGCTGTAATGTAAACACTGCATTTTCTCTGAGAAAAGACAGTGTTTACTGCAAAGAGCCTGAAGGGAATGATTCTACTCACCAGAACAAATTCAATAAGCTTTAGTTGTTCTGGTGACTGTAGTGTCCCGTTAACCATTTCTACCTTTAAGCTAAAAGGACTGTGCAAGATCTCATATAAAGTGTGGGAATTAATCCTCATTAAATGCAATAATTATATGTTAAGGTGCTAAGATTTGAATATTTCACGAACATCGATTATTTAGCAGACATAACGGAATTTATAGAATGTATTTCTCTCAACATTACTCTTTGACCATGTGTTTTACTTAGAAAATACTTAGTAAGAAGTCACTCTCCACAATGAGACAGATCGTGCGTGTTTATCATGCAGTCAGTATAATGTGCCATATGTTGATACATTGCGTCAGTACCGTTTTTAAATAGGACAGGTTTTCAAGCTATTCAAATTTAAATAAATTATTCTAATACTTTAACTGCTGTGATTCTAATTTTATATTGTAAATTACACAGGCTGTGTAAAAATAAATAAAACAAATCCCTGTGATCAGTGACAGCGTTTAGGTTCTTAGCCGGGGAATTCTCAGAAATACCGTGTACTCACCCACTGCTTCCTCTTCCATTACAGGTACAGAGACTGAACCAACTCATCAGAGGAAAATCTATAAAGCAGGCACTGCACTAGTCCCAATGCAATCCCTAAAATGAGTTCAGGATTGGGAGTTCTTTAGACAGAATGTGATATCCAAATCACAGAAAGGGGGAGATTTTTGGGCTAGATGATGATTCAACCATTTGGCTTCTTGCCATCGATGCCTACTGGTGTCAGGCATTAAAATCCATACTGAAAACATTTGTTTTACTAAGACAATTCGTGATTGTTAACTAATATGATTGATTTATTTGAAAAAGACAAAGACTAAAGGAAATATTAAGTGATAGCATTGATCGTTTCCCATTCATTGTACTCTTAAAAAAAAAAAAAAAGGTAACAAACATTAGAGACTCACCTGTTAATACTGTCATTTGCCACTTGCATTCCACTGTCTATTTGAAGAACAATTTTATAGTCTACATATGCTTCTCTGTATCGTTCAAGAGACTCGTTTGCCATCGCTCGACGTAAGAGCGGTTTCATTGAGAACGGCTGAAGTTCTAGAGCCCTTTAAAAAAACAAATGAAGAAGGATTATTTTGTGTGTGTGTTTTGCCACATTAAATCAAATACAATGTCCAAAACCATGGGTGAATTAAAGGTAGCAGCAACTGTTACAGAACTTCAACCATGATGATTTGACAGCCTTGAGCATGGCACAGCTTAATGGTAGTTGTGGTTCTAAAACAACTTCCCTTGTTTTTTTGGCCACCTCTATTCTAAACTACCAGTTCATTTTATTTTATACATTTATAGCATGACAGAAGAAACTCTGCTTATATAACGATCTAAAATAACCACCCTGCTGCTTACTCATTTTTAATAGAGGTGTTCAGTTGTTGTAAGAATAATATGTTAAAGCTATTCTACACTACTGACTAGTAACTGTGACACTAAAAAATCTACAATCATATTAGACTGACATATTGCAGCTGAGACAAGAAATACAGGCATGATCAGATAGTAAACACTGGTCAAATAACACTGTACAGACATGTCAATAACAAGCAGTTTTACTTAAAAACAGAAACCGGATTATGCACAGGTTTAATTTGAGGTTAGACTAAACACATTTCGGGGGAGCTAGGACAGCAGGCAAGTGTAACTAACTGATGGAATGTTGTACAGAACAATTAATTAGCAGAACCTGCAAGGGTATTTCTCTAAGCCGAAGGACCAAACAGTAACCAAATGTTACCTGGTTTTTCTAATTAGTCTGTTTCTGAAAGATTTGTTATGCAAAACCCATCTGTCTATTCAAAAAGTCAAATTCAGTTATTTGAGCTATATTTGCATTTCCATTTGATTACGTGTAAAAATCAGCCATATCTCAATATAAGTTCGCAAGGTTGCTTATCCACAGACAAATAGCAACAAGGAAAATGCATTTGTAAACCTAAAGCCCTTTCAGTCACACAACCAATATCCCCATATACCCCTTACCCAAACTGTATACCTTCCCCAACTACTCTTACCGTAATAGTATTTTTTATTATATTAATAATATTGCGGTTTAGTTATCATTCAAGTTACCTGAATCACAAATATAGATTTAATGCCATGCCCTTCAGGTTTAACCCCTTAAGGACACACGACATGCGTGACATGTCATGATTCCCTTTTATTCCAGAAGTTTGGTCCTTAAGGGGTTAAGCTGGGTTTGTGAAGGAATCTACCTAACACTATGATAATTTCCCCCAGATAAAGTTGTATACAGAAGATTGGAGATACATTGTGTAGGAGTCAGAGAGAGGAGAGAAGTTGAGGCTTAGAATAACATTAGCAAGACCAAAGTGTGACAATGACTCAGTGAGGTGTGAACTACGCTTTATATAACTGTGATGAAAGTATTGGTATGATAAAGAAAATACCTCACTTGAATTAGTGTTAATGTGCACCTGTCATACCATCAAGTCATGGCTGCATTTTATATTAGTCTCTACAAACTGTCTAATTGAAGGGATAAATAGTTTTTATTGTAGTGACAGACGGTCCATTAAAGTAATCCAGCAATGCGTGAGAGCTATTACAGGAAGAATACCGTCTACCATATTTATTTAACAATTCGTATAGTTTGGTAAATAATAAGAACTGTATATTAAGCTATTCTATAGCCCAACACAGAAAAGCCCCTCTCCTTTGATAAATATAGCTCACAATTTTGTATAGAATACGGTAAATACACATCCATTCGGGTATGGATATGGGCGCTGTTTGTATATTGAGGCATTAATATACCCTTTCATACAGTGGAAAATTCTGTACTATTGCTCTCTAATGTTCTAGAATTGAGGCAGTTCTTGTGGTTTATACCTATGAAAAGCATATTGAAATTTATTACATGTGAGAATTCTTAGAACATTTTCTCAATAGAATACAGAGCATGCCAGACTCCCAAATAATTAAAGCAGCACGTCAGGCACCTTACCAACTACAGCCCACTGGTTACAGTGCCAGAATTGTCCTGGCGTTGCCTCAGCGTAAAACCATGTGTTACCATAAAACTGTTAAACCATTTATCACAATGTGACGCCTACAAGGGTTCTGCCAGTGCCATCACTGTATCCGATGGAGAAGCTGGATGCTGATTTGGGCATTTATTTATGACGCTGAGAGTGTCAGGTAAGTGTTAAAAAGGTTTTACAGATTATCCTGGGGCAGTGGGCTGTTGTGGTTATGGTGTTTGGAGTGTTCCTTTGAATCTAGTTGTGAATATATTAAGTAAACCCAGGACATTCCTTTCTTATGAGTTCTTTAAATCACAAAAGGATCTTAAGCTAGTAAAATGGAAATTGGAGTAAGTTTGGAAAATCTTTAGAAATGGCCAACTTTCTTGGCTGCAATATTTTGCATAAAACACATGGAAATAGATTGTCTTTTTGAAAATGCTACTTTTGAGATATGTTCAGCTACCATTAAAATATAAAAAGAATGCTACGATTGGCTGATTGACGCTACCTAGTTTGGACAAAGCTTGCTGCATTAAGATCTAATCTCGAGAGATTTACAGAAAATACAGGAATTTCAATGTCAGGTCTACTACATTATTTTTATTTACTTACAACGCGTGTTGTTTAAAAGCATTATCTAAATAACTAACTAAAATCAGGGTCAACTGCAACTTCAAGTGCCTATTTAAAGGGGTACTGTCATGTCTCTGGATTTTAACATTGTTTACTTATCCCCTATATTTAGCAAATATGTTTTTGTGAGGTCGGCAAAATAAAATCCTGTTCGAACCCACATAACAGAATGTGAGGCTCCTGAGTGTTGATGGGTCAAAACATTGCCAAGTAAAGACACTCAACAGAGATTTTTGCAACCCTCAGTAGAAGTGATAGAATTGCTGAATATTCTCTGTAAATATTGATCGTTCCCTGACTGTTTTTTTGGGTATTTTTTTATGTATTATCTACATAATGCATGGGGGCGAGCTATCGTGCCTATTTAACTACTAAATTAAGCTGTCTTTAGGAGATCTGCAAAGTCATATATAATCCATCTCTGTCACCCACAAAGTATCTATTCTACATCATTCCTTTAACTAATCCCACTGGTTTGACAACTTGTGTAAATACCTTGTCACAGTCCATACAGTAAGAGATCCAGTAACATGCCTGCAGGTATCATTACACACATACCCTAATCAGCTACTAACTGGCAACGTGCACTATGTCCCTTATTACTTACTAAGAACTTTGTCTCTGCATTCCAAAGTACAATGTTGTTTGAGTTACAGATCTTTGTTACTGACTAAATACCAGGTAAGAAAGTAACTATGTTTCAGTGGAGGTTAAACAATTCCTGATGTGTTTACAAAGTACAGGTTACAGTACATGACACTGTAATTTGGTATAGTTCATGGAAAAATGGTTTCCTGAATGTATTTGGCTTTTTTTTTTTTATTGCAGAAGCTTCTATGTTGTTAAGAATTATCAGTCCCATGATATGTTTTTACAATCTAGTTAGATAATATCTGGGCAATTGTATTCAACAACATTTACCACGGTGAGTGGAAACAGCATATAAAGTGGAACTTCAACTTTAATCTGACATTCACAAGATGGCTTATGAATATGGCTTGTAAAAATTAACAGTAAAGTCAATATTTAACAATGAGAAGAATCAAGCAAAATCTACACTTGTGTTGCTGCAGGAGGAAAGGTTGTTTCCGACTTTCAGGATATCTGTAGATGCCAAATTTTCAGAAGATAACCATTTCGGGGTACAATTAAAAAAAAAAAAATGAATTACGCCAGACAGTGGATAGATACCCCCTGAAGTGGGCACTCACAAGCAGAGCCAAACTTTGAAACCAAATGGTTCTAGTTTGAGAATACAGGAAGTGGTTTCCTTCTGTTCTAATCTAAGGAAACATTGCAGTATGTGTGTATCTCAGGTTACATACTTGTCAGATTAGCAATAAATTCACAAACTATATTTATTTTTGTTATGAGGGCTTTTATATTAGAATGTCAGATGTGCCCAAATCCCAGGCTGATTTTAAGGGAAGTCACCCTCTGGGTTATATATGGATCTACACCCCGTTAGAAGAATACCAATAAAGGACATTACTCTTTGTTCTGTCAGTTTGTTAATTTTTATTTTTAATTAGTATTTAGTAGCACGTGATTTGTTTAAAGCCCTCACATATATATCTCAAGTTATACATATTTTTTCAATTGGGATTTGCTCTTAACAATTTATAAAAACCCAGGTACAAATATATCTAGATTACGATCTCTAGGTATATGGTTAGAGGGTGTGTCTAGGAAGGAATGCAGAGCTGCCCTTAAAGTTGCACTGTATGATCTGACAAAAGGTGTTATATATTATCAGTTGAACCATCTGGAAAGTGACCAGGACTGGTAGATTATTGATAACCCATGATAGGACTCTATGGGTTATTTGTTAAAACAGATCTAATGAAAGAATATAAATATTCAGGACAATGAAATGACCATTGGCAGGTGTCACACAGGACACATTCTACAATTAAAATTCAGTTGATTGCCAAGAGGTGTAAAACACGGCTTTATCTGTATAATGTGATTGGGCTGGGAGCAGGCAATGACCGCATAACTGAGCTCCCAGCCAATCACCATTCACGAAAACCTTCACTTTGCCATGACAACATTACAAGGGAGCTAGACAGGGTTCTTTCTATCTATTAAAAGAGGAAATGAGAACCTTAAACTGTGAGCAACACAGTCATCCTGCATGCTCATCACAAAGCATAGAATCACCATGCAATACTAAACATACCATCAGTATTATCCTCTGCCTAACCACAGACTTAAACCTCTGATTCTATTAAAATGGCCACTAATCCCACTTAGAGGGAAACCCCAAAATAACAGTATTACTTAATGTTAGGAACCTGCTGTCTTTTCAGGGCAGTAATATTCTGGATATTCATAGTTAAAATGTTATGATAAATAGCAGCAAATCCATTAAGTGCAGACTGTTTTTTTTTTGTACATCTCTTACAGTCTGCTGAGAGCATATGTACAGGGATCCATCAAATGGTCTGTGACTGATGCTAATTGGACATATAGTGGCCACATACAATTTATGGTAAATGGATATACTAATGAATACTGAAGCTTTATCATGGCCGACTTCAGCAAGACATTTTGCAGATTAGAATTTTCAATGTAAAAGATCATTAAAGAGACATTAAAGACATAAGGAATTGGAACTTTGATTATAATACATTGGGAATACATTAAGATAAAGTTGGTACCAATATGTGTGTCTATAACATGTTGAAATATGCCTATCCTGAAATTTATGTTGTAGATCACTTCTTTACCAACACATGACAAATTTCCATAAGCTTTTTAATGTCACATGACAATGCAGGAAGTAATTCTATACTGGGATTTGCCCAATATGTCATAAAAGGGTTTATGGTCCATTCAATGGATAAGAAGCCTTCAAAGAAGCCTAAGAGGCTGAAAGTTCTCTTATACACTCAGGATGACAGTCTGTCTTCCTATGTTACACTTTGGACAGCAGCTTGCCCGCCTAATCGATTAAAACACAGGAAGTCTCAAAGATCAGGAATAGCCTTCTGTTTCCCAAAAGCTTTTGAACTAAAAACCTCTGTCTCCCTGTAGGTGACAAATATCTGGAGTTCAAAGGTTAGGTATCACAGGTTTTCTAAATTGAGAATACAGTCTAATAACTGGACACAGCATTTAATACCCGAATAGCTATCTTCAGACACATGCATTGACCTTTAACCTTACAGCAAGACCTTGTTTATTGTTACAGTAGTGTGGTTCTCAGTCACATACACACCATTAACCTGTTACAGTGGACCGAAAATGATTAGAATTATACCTGTTGCAATCTTCAATACACTGTCTGCAGTTCCCTTCTTTCAGCTGACATGCTGCCCTGTTGGAATATAAGACACCCAGCTCCTCTGCATTCTCTGATCCTGCAAGGTTAGAGATGTATTAGAATTAGCCAGTCAGTACCACATACAGACTGAGACAGCACTGCAGCACATTGAGCACTGCAGTATCTTGTGTGCAAGCCATGCTTGCTTAATCACTATCACACGAAGGCTAGAGGGAAGAGGAAAAGAGAAAAAACAGCAATGACTAATTTTCCATATTGCCAAATGTGATACGACAAGCACAATGCCAGGAATCACATGGCTCCCATTCTGTATTATTGTAACTGGTATGGGCTTTACCAGCATAACACACACTGGCCATTCACAAACACAGCTGTACTATAGACAATATAAAACAGATTATTTACCGGCTTCAGTGAGAAGATTAATAGCCTCTGTGTATTTGATGGCAGCCTCTCCAAACTGGCCGTTCTTAAAGAGCTGATTCCCTTCTCCTTTTAGTCTAGCTGCAGGAGCCACGGGCTGCGATGGTTGCTTTGTATTCTGATTTGGATCCTGGTGTCCGTTCGCCTTCTCAGAGGCTCCTTCCTGGTTTCCATTCTCTCTGCAAAGATTCCTGGCTGTCTGGCCATTGCCAAGATCTTTCTTCACTCCATTCTGAGCGCTTTCCTTGCTCTGTTTGGGGATCTGGCCGTCACTGTCCCTCTGATTGTTTCTCTTAGGAGACGACTTTTTCTGTGCATTCCCCATGTCAGTGTGCTCCCCAGCCTCTCCTCCTCCCACTGTCACACCGGCTTCTACAAGGAAGTACAAGCTTACAGTCTACATCACAGGAACAAACTACTGCAGAGCACAGGAGGGGGGAGTGACCGTGTCATTGTCACATGTTAACAGCTATGAAAGACATATTATAAACAGGAACAGTGACATTTGTAAGAAGCTCCATTAAGATATAATCACCCATGGCACAGAGCACAGTAAATGCATCAATTCAAACTGTTTCCATTATAAGACAGTGGGCTGGCCCCTGCTGGAGTGAGGATCAAAATATCAGCTCCTTCTTTGTAGCTAACTCCTTCCAGGCTGAATCTTGCAGGAACAGATGGCATGTGTTTAAAGGGGAATAATACACTGGGGGAGTTTATTTACTGGTTCTGGGCAAAGAGGAACAATCAGCAGGGGCATTCCTTTGGTTTCCATGGAGACTGCGCTACAATTAGAACAATGTCCCAGAGTTCTGTTTAATTATTACCATTGAGATACATCAAAAATCCATTACACAGACAATGCAATGGAGAGGACCATAGTACACTTTAGTATCAGTGTCAAACGTTAACCTAAACTACACAAGCTTGGACTATAGTGGAGTTGGAGAATTTTTTTCAGATCTAATATTTTAGCCTACATTTTTCCATTTGAGTGTAAATTCGCTAGAATTAGAAGTTTAGCGAATACGCCTAGGGGTTTATTCCCCAACCCGAATTGTAGTGAACTGAACTGTAAATTGCAAAATTTAGATCAAAACAGATGATTAGAATCCCAACACAGTTTTAGACACAGACTGGCTATTTTAGCCTAAATTCTGCAATTAGATTTTTGTATTTTATTGATAATACAAATGAGCCAGCTCACGCTATGCATTCTAGCACATGCAATGTACTGAACGGGATTAGAATTCATTTTTTTCCCATAGTAGTGCATTAATATTATTTATATTTATTTTTGGAGGTTAATGCAAATAAATAAATAAAATAGTCTAGATACTATTTTTGTAATTTTTCTTAAACACACTTTATTTTTATTTGCATCTGGTTACTAGGACTACATTCTAGGTGGTTCCTAAAGGGGTGTTCTAAGAACCATAAGCACTACCCAATGTACAGTGCTATGGAATTTGTTGGTGCTTTATTTTATTTATTAAAAAAAATATATATTTTACCAGGAAGGATACATTGAGATTTCTCTCGTATTCAAGTATGTCCAAAACATTGCATTGATACATTAGAGTACAATAAAATACAAAAACAATAATACACAATATTTAAATTTAACATAGAACAGGTAGGAAATATAATCTATTACGAATAATAGAGCTTGTTGCATAGAGGGCCAATGCACTGTCATCACTGTCAAACCTTGTAAGTACACCTTGAAATAAAATGAGGCTAATTTGAGTGCCCAGTGATTGCCCCCATTAAGGCTGCATTGAGAATGTGGAATACATACTGCCGCACTAGCATTGGTAGCATTGATTGGCTTGTCTTCGACTGGTGGAGTTGTATTAACCCAGTACTCTTAGCCAATTGTAGTCGACCAGGTGGAACAAAATTGATTAATAATGCAGAAGTGTTAATTCCACATTATCAATGGAGCTGAGAGGGGTTTAGTTGTGTCAAACCATTCTTAAAACAGTTTGATATGTAAGTGAGAGGTGTCTCCAGGGGATTCATGCAGGAGAACCACGAAAATGAGTTGTAGTCGTTATGTTGTTGCAAAGCCCTTTTAACATGTGGGTCTGGACCCTAAGTAAAGTCCCTATTCCATTTCAATGCATTCTCACTGTTTGAAACAACTACATCATAATCTTTAGGCCCCTGACCCACAATGCATTGGTTACTGTGCTGCATGGCCTAACAAAGTGCAACTAAGGTATAGCGGACATTTGGCACAACCTCTCTCTCTCCTTATGGGCCTCCATGTGTGTGTCTATATATATATATATATATATATAATTGTGGACTTTATCAGGGATGATCACAGAAAGTACATGCTTCGGAGCTGCACTGGATTAAAAAAAAATCTACAGATTGTTGCATGATATTTACTGATTGCAGCCGTGAAGTATGCATTTTGTAGGAGTGCCCCTAATAAACTCAGCAATGTGGCCACAACTTAAACAAAACACAAAACTATGTTGACAAGGAGATTAGCTGCCAGTCAGAGTCTATACTGGCTTGGCATGATTAACATTGTGCATGATAGAAATGACATGGCAGAAATGAATGCACATAACATCATATATGTCACATGACTACGTGGATACAAGATTGCCAGCAGGATTAACATGCAGTTATACAATCAATAGTGGACATGCCCAGCTCTCCCTGATACAAATCAACACTGCTAGTATAACATTAGTGGAAGAAAGGCAGGGGTTGGTTCAAAGGTTGTACAAAAATAGTATAGAAAATCCCCTTTTCATTAGCAAGCAAACCAAGATACGTATACATGTAGGCTAGTTATCTTGAGGCCAAAACAAAATCACAGAATTACCTTACTTGAAATAAGGGCCAGCTGAGGTAGGAGCGGATGCTTAACTACAGTAAATTGAAGAATGTTGTTCCATAGTGGAGGTATATTCTATCAAGCTGTTACGTATGCCTGTATATCTATATTCATACATTGAGTAATTTTGACAAATTCTGACTGTAGAACAGACTGCCATTTACCCTGCCGAGTGTCCCAGATACATCAGATGCCATCTTTAATTCAGTGATTAACAGATACCTGGCTGTCTCTGAGTATCTACAGATTTAACAGATTTTCCAGAATTACAACTCTACAATGAACGTCCGGCATCTCCATGCAGCACTGACACAGGAAGCACCTTTAGTGGCCGTGTATATCACTGCCTAGGAACATCTCTAGTGGCAGTTATTCAAACATTGACTCTTCTCCTAAAAAGCCTGCAGGAACTGGCAATAAACATCAGAACTACTGCATTAAATGGACACTCAAATAGGCAATAAACAAGAAAATCAATGTTTAGTAGATATACCCCAATGAATTTATGCATAGATTTTTTTTATGTATATATTCAATGAAGATATATCTTAAAAGAGCTTGAAAAGGCTGCAGATCATAATAACTGCATCCTTAAAGGATACTATAAGTACAAAGCTATACTCCTGGCACTAAAGCTCCGCCCCTCGTCACATGGAAATACCCAGAGGCTTCTCATTGAGAAGTCTCTGAATTGGTGACCTTGTGCACGGAGGTCTGCTGGAGCTGGTCTAAGGTCTGTGGGGAGGAGGCAGATGTGCTCAAGTAGAGCATGCCTGCCACTTCTGTTAGCTCAGGGGAGCTAATGGAAGGAGACTGCAAACTTTCCTGGCTGTTTGAGTGAAATAGAAATCAGCACTTTTATAAACTGGGGTTAAATTAGAAGTGTTATACTGGTGTGGAGTGGTCCTTTAAGCTTTAGTTGTTCTGATGACTACCATTGGTATCCCTTTAAATCTGAAAATCGCAAAATTGTTATATGGCAATTTTTACTAAAGTAAGAAAGGAATCTTAAAATTTTGTTAGAGATAAAAGGTTGCAAATTTTAGAATTGCAAAATTTTGTATGTGGATCTCAGATGAACTATGTGGTAACTCATTAGGAAACAGAAACCAACTCACAGTAAGTACATTATGTAATAGATTACTCACATATCCTATGTTTGTAGCAATATTCAGAGTGATTGCGTCAGAATAATCAGTCAGTTGGTGAACATGAACATTTTTACATGAAGATGTTTTTCAAAATATTTGCAAAATACCCTTTATTTAATTTAGCACTGGCACTATTAAATCTGTCTCCCACGTTGGAATTAGTGTAGGACCCACCAATATTGGGGTACTGTAAAGTAGTGGGTGGGTTAACACAATATGACTATATGGTGGAAACGAATCCCAATATTTGTTTGCTGAGAGGTGATTTTAAAGGGACACTATAGTCACCCAGACCACTTCAGCTCAATGAAGTGGTCTGGGTGAGAGGTCCCTCAGGTTTTAGCCCTGCAGCTGCAAACATAGCAGTTTCTTCCGGACAGCCACTAGAGGTCCCTCAGGTTTTAACCCTGCAGATGCAAACATAGCAGTTTAATGCCTCCATCACGCAGAGTGTCCATAGGAAAGCATTGAAAAGAAAAAACGCTTAGTTTTCCTGACACTATAGTGATCCTTTAAGTAGCTTAGTAAAAATTTAAACTGTATTTTTGTGTGTGCGTTGTTCCTTAATCTGTATTATGTATACATTTTGGTCTCGACCGCACCACTGTTGAGCAATGCAAGTTCTGAGAGTTCCAATTCCCTCTTGAAGAGACATTGACCAGCACCCAATGGACTCAAGACAAGAAGTCAAACCCTTAGTAAACTACTACAGTATTTATGACGCTCGAAGTGTTCCTTTAAACATTTTCAGACAGTGTTCTCCCCTATAAACATAAAAGGAGAAGCATTATACCCTTTGTACAGTGCTACGGAATCTGATGGCGCTATATAAATAATAAAAAAATAATAAGACCCCTGTGAGGGGAGATGCATGCGACATGTCACGTTGCATATATGAAACAGAATAATGCCTTTGTATGGGAATACATTTAACAGAAAACGTATGGTCCTTGTTATACAATCATGTGTGTATATATAGGAGAGTACAGTCCAAGTCCAACTTCATTAAGAAGTGTCCATTATCTGGGAAATTGTAAGTGATCATTGATGTGTGTAGATATTCAAAACTACAATAGCGTTATGAGTGTTATGGGCTGTCATTTGGGAAATCACTTAACAAAGCAGTACAAAGTAAGGAATGTGATGGTATAGTTGTAAAGTGGTCCAACCAAGTGGACCAAATCGGTTTTTTTACCGACAGTACACTAGTGAAACTCCTCTAAAGTGTGTAGTGCTTCCACTTTTGATATCCACTGTTCCAGGGAGGGTATACTTGTCCGTGTATGGGAATTAACCCACTAGATGTCCTCAGTAGCAAGCACAAGAGGGTCTGTTTATGTGGCTCTGGAAAAATTTTAGACCACCCCAAAATAGCTTGGGACTGTGAGATGGTTTGGTAGGTGTGACAATGACTTTGTATAACCTTAATGATCTCTTTCTAAAATGGTTGAATGGCAGTGCAAGACCACCAGCGTTGATCACTAACAGACGGGTAAAATGAATGAAGTAGTGAGGGAGCCATATACCATGGGGTTATATCACCTTATAAAAGACTTCCTGAATACCAAGACTTATCGATGCATGCATCACAGCGACATATGAATTTGCAGTCTTCTGGTCTTAACTGAATATGAAGAGCTTTTTTGCAGATTCTCCTATAAGAGGGGGCATGAAAAGACATAGGGTCCTGAAACAGGGAACACAGTTTGTCGTCTGTCACAAACTTTAAAGATCTTATGGCCAATAAGGTGGACAGTGAAAGTTCCTGTAGGAGAAGATCAGATTGGTCTTTAAATTGTACAGAATCCAGAGTACGAGACTTGCACAATATCTCCTCTTTTAGAGAATAATGGTAAACATGACTGATAATTTCAAGAGAGGGTCTCGTGTGAGAAATATCTTGGCCTGAGGGTCCTATGAGCTCTGTCTAATTTAATTGGTATATCCATGGGTCTATTGAGAATTTTATTAAATAAAGCTTGTAGAATAAGTGGTATGCTTTCAGGGGTATCACCACGTGGTTCAGAAATTCCATGAATACAGAGAATATTTCTCCTACCTCTGTTGTCTATGTTGTCCAGTTTCCTCTGTAGAGTGGCTATCAGAGCCAACTGTTGGGTAATAGGATATCGAATTGTTTGTGTCTGTGAGGCTGAGGCCTCCTTATCATCCTCCAGCTCCTGTACTCAAGGACCAAGATAGCGGACGTCAGTGCCTATGGCCTGTAGCTTCTCTCCAAAGCTTTCGTCTAGTTTCAACAACACGGCCATATCTGCCTTGGAGGTTAAGTGTAATAAAAGAGACCTGATATCCAAGTCCCCCACCGACGTGTTTGAGGGAGATGGGCTTAAAGGAGGGCTTTCTCTAACGTTCATTGCCAACTCCATATTGGATTTGCCTCAAGCCTCAGCCTCGTGAAAGAAAAAAAAAAAATCAGTGAAAGGATTTGTGAGATCCGAAGGAGGTTGTAAGCATATTCCCTAAGTTATGTTTATTCTTCTTGTTCACCATAACGCAGAATAATGCTCAGGAAGGATGCAGATTGCTCTAACACCAATGGAGAGTGGTGCTCAAATGTCCATTCGCTTCAGTAGCTAAGCCATGCCCTGGTGTACAATTAATTTAACCCATTTGGGGGGGGGAGGTTCTTCCAATCGCTTCTATTTTAAGATAATCTAATTACAAGGAACGACCTGGTAGCTACCTGCTTGTAATTAGATGAATGAACATAGATGCATTTTCATCCATGTTTCTGGTCATTTTTTTCTTAAATATTCTTTATTTAGATTTTCTCATCACATAATAAATTGACATGGATTGACAAAATACAATATTGACAAAAGACATTGAACAAGACAAACTACATGACACTTTTACCAACCTATTACATTCTACCTCAGAGGTATACTGATTGAGCTAGGAGAGAGGAGTATTTATCTATTCCTCGTGTTTTTAAACATTTAAGATACGGTACCTTAGTTATAAATCTAATGTGCATAGTTTACCCTTTTCTTACAGAAGTGCAGATATTTTACAAAGATAATCTTCTCTTAAGAGTTTGTTCTTAGCAGAGGAGTTATTTATCCAGCTTATGCCATGTTCCATCTTTAATTGGAACCAGGCCCGGACTGGCCATCGGGAACACCGGGCAAATGCCCGGTGGGCCGCGGTGGCCATGGGCCGAGGCCGGCAGGGGAGGTCCCAGGACATCCCCTGCCGGTCTATGCAGGGCCGGCACTATGCGAGCGCCGGCCCCGCTGTCTTCCATGGAGGGCCGGTGGGGAGATCAAAGCTCTCCCTCACCGGCCCATTTAAACAGACCTGCGGCTGGGGAGAGAGGGAGAGGACCCGGCGGAGCTCTATCTTGTAACTCAGCCGGGTTCCTCTCGCGAGATCGGGAGCGTTGCCATGGCAATGCCCCGATCTCGCGAGAGTCACCATTGGACCACCTGGGATCGTGTGTGAGTGCTGGTCCCCCCCACTCACCAGCGTGCCGGACCCCTCCTCCTCCCAGGCTACAGGTAAGGGGAGGGGGAATAATGCATGATTAGTGTTTTTGTTTATTTACCCCCCTTATTTTTTTTTTATTTGTATATTTAGTCCCACTTAGGTTTTTATTTGTTTATTTACCCCCTAACACACAACATTTATACACAGCACTCTCACACTCAGCACACTCAGCATTCACACACATCATACACAGCACTATTACACTCAGCACTCACACACATCATACACAGCACTCACACACATCATACACAGCACTATTACACTCAGCACTCACACACATCATACACAGCACACACTCAGCACTCACACACATCATACAGCACTCACACACATCATACACAGCACTATTACACTCAGCACTCACACACATCATACACAGCACTCACACACATCATACACAGCACTATTACGCTCAGCACTCACACACATCATACACAGCACTATTACACTCAGCACTCACACACATCATACACAGCACTCACACACATCATACACAGCACTATTACGCTCAGCACTCATACTGCACCCCTCACATACACACACAACCCCCCGATACACTGCATCACACACATACACAATACTTCCAAACATATTTATATTATATATATATATATATACACACACAGCACCCCTCACACACACACAGCACCCCTAAACACATTTCATTCCAGACACACACTAGATCCTCTACCCAACTCTGAATCATCTACACACACTAGATCCCTATATACACTCTGAATCCGTTATATACGCACGCTCACTAGATCTCCTATACGTAGTCTGGGTCCTTCACACACACACACACACACACACACACTCTGGATCCCCTATACGCACACTAGATTCATTGTAAGCAAACCCATACATTCCCTGACACACACACACACACACACACACACTATAGCCTGTATATACACACACACACACACACTATAGCCTGTATACACACACTTGCTACATCCCCTATAGACACATTCTCTACAGCCCCTAGCCACATATGCATTACATTACACCACAAACACAACACGACTAAAACCGACCTTATTACACAATACCACACCACGACCAGCTCACTCTACACACATGCAATACCACAAGCAGGCTCCAAACACATGCACAATACTCTTTTCCTGGCCTTTTGTCTCCTGGTATCCATTTATAGAGACACCAGAGACAAGTTGCAAGGAAACACAGTGCAAGCATGTTATTAAATTTGCTTGCACTGTGCAGAACAAATACAGGGCTTTTTTCTCATGCTAGAGCTCTTCAGCAGAGCTCTGTGCATGGTCTGCCCTGGAAGAGCATTGAACCAACATGCTCACTTTGAGAGGGCGCGTGTTGTCATGAGTGATGACAAAACACACCCTCTCTGCCCCGCCCCCTTCTTAATGGGCCGCTGTGATAAAAAAATGCCCGGGCCGAATTTTTATCCCAGTCCGGCCCTGATTGGAACATTAGTTGTCTTACCCATTGCGTATAGTTCATTTCTACAGGTCATAACCTTAACAGCCATAAAACCGTGTGTAGCCAGATAACATTGAGATGCTACTATATTCGGCCAACCCAAGTGTAATATTGCATACTATCTTTTAGTTTGTGTGGAATATTCCCCCATTTATTTCAACCCTGTCTTCTTAAAAAATTTGTCCTAAACTTAAAGTGCTTTTATTTTCTTATCTCACATAACCCTATACATTAGGAATGTTATTTTCTTTCAGGGATTCATATCTCTAAAAAAAAATTAAAAAAGAGCTGTTTTAATTTTCCTCTTTATAACTATTCTTTCTGCTTGTGTTATTCTTTTAATTTCTAATACCTAACTCGTGTATTTCAAGTTTCCACTCACCATATCCATACTTTTATATATGTAAAAAAAAAAAAAAAAAAGTATTTTATCGTTATTCTCCATATATCTCCCTCGCCATCCTCTCATTCGGTAGATTTTTTTTATTTATTTTTTTTAAATTCTTTATTTTAGTAGTGCATATAGTATACATGTATGCTTGCATAGCCACAACAGCCGGTGCAGGCTAGACATAGACATAGAAAAACAGTTGTATGGCTTATTAACGTTGCACGTTTTATGAGTTTATACATGAGTATAGGAACAAGCTAAGTCTGAAGCTGCTATGGTGGGTTAGGTAGGTTGAGTTATGGTTCATTTCAACGTTGTTACACATAGCCCTCTAGAATATGAAAAAGTTGTGCTTTGCTACCGGTTTGGTACATGGTTATGCTAGTGTTGTTAGTTAATGCTGAATAATTACAGTGGGTTAGGTAGTGTGTTCAAGTTTAGTAAAATTTGCTATGTTCTCAGGTGCCAGCGCAGCTCTTGGATTGCCTTTGTTCCTTTCTCCATTCCTCCAGTTCATTTGGAACGGAGAAGATTTTCTTTGTGTCTTTCCAGAACACTATTATCGATTTAATGGGCCTCCAATGATATCTCATATTGTGTTGTTTGAGTGGTATCAGGGCTACAGCAAAGTTTTTGCTCCACAGTCTTGTGTGTGATGATAGGTCTAGATATATTGTAATATTTTTTAATCTTTCTTCTGTAATCTTCTTCACTTTACTTGCTTGAATTATTTGCAATTTTATTTGAAAAGAATACAGGCAAACTACCATATCTCTCGGAGTTGATTCTGGAATATTTTGCGGTTTTCCTTACACGATATGTATTTTCAATCACCTTTTCTTGATTTTGTAGATTGAGGTCTAACGCAGTAAAGAATTCAAACAAAAAAATTTATGTTGTCATGAGTAATGGATTCAGGGATATGAATTTATGTTGTCATGAGTAATGGATTTTTTATTCTGATGTTATTCATTGTCTATCTTCCATTAAGGTTATTTTCTGTTCCAAGGCATTCATATCCATTTTCATTTTTTCTTGCGCCTCTGTAACCATCTTATACTGAAATTCAAATTTTTCATATTTTTCTTCCATCTCGGCTATATTTATCCCAATTTCCTCTATTTGTTGTTTTAGTTGAGATGTGCTATTATTGATCTCCCTTTTAAATTTTGGTTTTCCAAATTGGCATTGATGAATTCTTGTAGATTAGACGTAGAGTTTCTCCTGTCCTCCATTAAGGATTCTTCTAATAACAGGTTGTCTGCTCCTTGTTTATTTTGGGGAGAGAAAAAAAAGATGATACTCCTTTATCTTGTTTGTTGTCCTTTTTATGTTATTTTTTCTTTGGCATCTTTGCAGTAGCTATTTGTTTCACTGCTCAGTCTAGATGCCTATTTTCTTTTGTATTCCTTTATTTTGCTCTCTCTCACAGGCTTTATCACGGTTTTTACGGTTTAATCAATTTGTCAGCCACTTTATTTTCCCGCCAGAACATTCAGGAAAAATTGGGAAACATTGTTTGAATTTACATGCAGATTTATAAAAGATGAGTTTTTTTATGCCCATATTAACACCTTATTATATAGTCGTGGGCTTAATAATTGTACTTGCTTTTATTTTGTAGTCGTCAGACCATTTTTCACAGCGATGTAGCTTCCAATGCTGCAGAGTTTTATCTCTGATTTTATTAACTCCTATCTCCTCCGTCTCTCAATATTCACCTTTCAAGTGGGGTCCTTCAGTCTCCTGTTTCCCTGCTCAGAGCTTATTGTAGTGGGCTGCAAAATCTCACTGTGGTCCGCTCAGCTCAAAACGCCACTATCACGCGGTTACATTGGGCTGCCGGTCAGTCAACCCCCTAGACCCCGCCTCCCGATGCGTGATCTCCACCCACCAGTTTCTGGTCATTTCATGCAAATTGAAAATAGTTTGTTTATGTTTTGTACAAATTCACGAATTGCGTGAAATTCGGACGAATTTGCATTCATCTGAAAACAAATGCCCAAGTCTAGTTGCAGCAGCCACATGGTATTTTTTACTAGTTTCAGACAGGCTAGGAAATGTCCCAGGACCACACCAATATTAGGGGCCATAGGAATGAACAAGATCATATATATCACAACGTTTTCCTTTTATTGTTGTATTTTATTGTAGTGATGTCTGCTGCTGTGTAGTACAGGATTTGAAGACATGATCTGCCCATCTAAATGACATAGATCATATACATCATTATACAATAAAATAGTTATTTACTTAGGAGTATGTAAAAGGAAGGAAAGACAGGATTCACGGATATTTCATTTTTTTTCCCCATCACATTGCTTTCTATTATCAGAGCACTGTAAAAGGAAATGCAGTTTACAAACATACACAATGCCAATGTTAGTCGTTACCAGTTTTATAGAGTCTTTTTAGACTCCAAGGATCTGTGTCCAACAGGGATGCTGCTGGAGTCTTAATATTTTCCACCTGGCGTCACACACCGTTCCCCGGAGTTTCCATTAGAAAACATTGCAAGAAGACTTTTTTAATATTTTTGCAGACTCATGTACGTGGAAATAGTCATATTCTGGGTAAACAAAACAAAACTTCAGCATTTGCTTTAAAAAATTAAGAAACATAATAAAAGAAGAGGAAACACAGATTTTCGTTTTGATGGTTGTTACTTGCCCTAACATATTCAGTGACGGTAAATTCTGGAATTCAGAAGACGAGGCTATTTGTAAGAGATGCTTCTTAATGATACAAGGAACTGCTCACATGCAGAGTTCAGTGATCACAGTGTCCTGACAAGGCTGTTAAACTGATGTCCTAAGCTTTTGCAGTCACATGATGGTCTAATTAAAGCCCATTACTAATCTTCATCCATGTGTCTCAGAATGAGAAGCTTGAGACGGTCTGTGGGAGGTACTTGTAAATGCCATCCTTACGGCAATCATCGGCTTTGACCTAATAATTAAAGGGATAGTCTGAGAACTAAAACCACATGCTTAACGTGGTAGATGCAGTCTCTTTTCTTTAACCTTTGGTCTTCACATTAGGCACCATAATAAGCACACAATATAATGGTACTGGATAGGGTTAATGCTTATCTAGGAGAAGCAATGGATTGGTGGTCTGATGTTTACCATTCTCTTTGAGAAGGATTGGATTGGACAAAGATCATCAGTGTTTTTTTATCTGGAATTTTCAATGGCAAAACTTGATTATAAAATTATACCCGTATCAATTACAAATGAGGTGAAGTCCAAACAATTCATAAATAAGTTAACAAAAGAAAAAAGAAAAGTTTGGAAATACAAATATTCTTAATATCTGCAACAAATAAAAAAAAATTAAAAAAAAAAAAAATCAACAAGCTTTGGCCACAAACATTTTTTTATTTTTGTATTTCTTCAATAAACACAAAATTGTAGTAAATTGAAAATTCAAATTGTAAAATTCAGCTATTTAGCAATTTGCCATTTACTACAATTTGGTAAGACAACAGTCACAAAAAAATAAAGAGACAGGATTCTAAAAGAAATGCAAAGTCTGTAGCAAAATGATAGATGGAACATCTATACTGAATTCTAAAACTACTCTCATCCCTACCTCCCTCACACCAAGGGGAAAAAACTAACTTTATTCAGAGCAGAGCTGAAATCGAAGTGTATAAAAATGTAAAAGATAGAAATTAACACTGGAAACCAGAGCATCATGTCATGAACTTATTAAACATAACAATAAAATGAGTACCTAGAATAGCAGGCTTTTTCATTTATTCAAGTGAGAATTTACTTAAAATATCATTGTGTGGTGATATGTCACATCATCCAAAGTGTACTCAAATTACTAAGGCACTTCCTTTTTGTCTCTTCAAGAACAGCATAAACTGTCAACTTAGAGCTCCATCTGCCAAGGGCCACCGTCAGCGCTGTGTTCTCACACATGTACGCAAGTACAACACGGATATCGATGGAGGATCCCACGAGAGCCTCCATAGACAAAGCTTTATACCCCTCAGCAGTCACTAGTTGGGACCTTAACAAAACTTGACAGCGATAGCGCTGCCTTGTTGTCAAGCGTAAGTAAAATACATAAGACACTGTGGTCTTTTGTGACACTCCCAGACCACAGCTAATATGTGTAGCGATATTCCCATTTCATCCACTTACTGATATAGTGGGAACGGAGCTGGGAGACAGAATTGCATCCCAGCTCCTCTCTCAGCATAGCAGTGTGGCAGAAATGCCTCTGCCACGTGTTCTTGGAGGGGCCTGCTTGCCAGCCCCCTGCCAAAAGACTATGGGCCCTTTAAAAACTTATGTGATTTATGTACTTCATAAAGAGAGACAGACCATTGGCCCTAATTCCCTGGAACTGCTTTGGGAATAGGACCATGTGTACGGTCGGTCAAAATTATGACTTCCATGGAAATCCTGAACCGATCTGGGTGATTTTTGGATATGTTGGTCCCCCAGATCTGGGCTATATGGGGATATGACCTTTGTGGGGGTTTCATGTGTTTTAGGGGTACTTTTGGGGTGTTGTTGTATTGCATGTTTTTCTGTGCTTGGAGATAATTGGATTAGATGAGTACAGTTCCTGATCCAATTATCTAACAGGCACAGAGAAGGGATTATCTTATGTATGGTAGTGTCCTTGATCTGAGAGCCAATATAATTGCGTATTTATTTCTGCTGTGGTTTACTCTCAGGTCCAGAGGGGAGTGCCCCTTGCATTGGGACCTGCATATAAGGCCAGTTGTGGCTCCCATTAAACGAGTTCCTGCCTACCCTCAACATAGAGTCTCATCTTATGTGTGGGGGAACAGCTGTATCTGCTCTGGAGATTGCTATATCACTATACTCCTCTAGGTTATAATCACTTGCTCTTGTAAGAGCAGCCTGCTACACTCTCAGAAGCAGGAGAGGTCTGCCCACTGGAAGCTGGATCCTGGTCTTGGGTCCAGGGTGGGTTAAGGACAGCGAGACCCCAACCAAGCTGTAACACTGGAAGTGGGGACTACAGTGCTGATGGTGTCTGGTGGAGTGCTTGGAGTACTCGGTGAGCACTAGGAGCATCGATTGGCGGAGGCACCCGGTCAGGGTGCCGGGCGGTACGCCACAACCAGTTTTAGGCGAAGGACTGAATTAGTGGCTACAGCTGCTGCCCAAGAGTGTAAATCTTTACTATTCTCAGGTCGGTCAGGACGTGAATGGACCATTACTGCCATGAGATAAGGCCCCACACTTAATAGTGTTAATCACGCATGAATTACAGTTTTTAATTCACAGTGTGACATTACCCACAATGCAGAACAGTTATGGGGTTCTAAAACAAAAGCAGATCAAACAATTAGATATTATATTACAATATTAAAATTTATATTACAGTCTATCTATATTTCAATACACAGATATGTACAGGTTTTGTACGCCTTTTTAGAATAATTTATTGTTGGATGTGATTGTGAATACAAACAGTGGATGTTGACTGAAATAGCAATAAGGAGACTTTTATTGGAGACCTCTTGCAAATGGAGCAAATGGATAATTAGCTTACATCATAGTACTGTCACGATATACATACCAACACACGCAGGAAGTTGGAACCCAATAGAAAAGAAAGAGAAAGATGTTGTCACGGTTTAATGTATAAATAAAGGAAAACATAGTCAGAATATTAGCCAAGGTCAGGATAACAGATAAAAGGAGGTACTAGCCGAGTCAGATACACAGAAAACCGCGAAACATAGAATAAGCAGGGTCAGGGATACAGTGGTACTCAGAAATCCAATAAACTAGCCAAATAGCAAAGGTCAAACCAGGAAATACCCAAGAATTGCTAAGGAACGCACAAATGAGGAAAATAAGATAGAAACCACGGTAGGGCACAGAATTAAGAACAACACAGGTTTTAATGGTGTTAACGAGGATCTGATTGGTTCATGTCAACCCTACGACTCCAAAAAAGGGTGGAAAGAGGTCGCCTGGGTGAAGTGACCATAGCAGAACCGGAGGTTATGTTGCGCTCATTGATGGCACTTAAGGACGTGCCCGTGTAGCAGGCAGTTTCCATAACATTGGAAGGAAGAAGGCCGGGCAAAAACAGCAACACATGAGGAGTACAGAACCGGTAGCTTTGATAGGGTAAGTATCGTTACAGGTACATGACTTGGAAAATAAACCAAAATGCAGTCAGAAAGGGCTTTGATTGTATTCAACAGTGTTATGTGGTCACACATGAAGAAAATGTCATAATAGTAGTTCTAAAACGGTTAGTATCACAGATATGATAAACATGAACAGAGTTTATGAGAAACAAGTGTTATTTATCTTCTCAAACCTGGCAAATCATATAGCATAAATAATATGGCCTTGCTATGTCCCATGTTGCTCTGCGCACTAATGAATCACTAATGTCCAATCTGCTTTTAGTTCACAAACTATGGGATATGTCCGCAAGCCAAGGAGGAGTTGAAATAAAACGTATCTTAAGCACTAAACACGGAGTGTAAGTGAATCGGACATCAAACTGCAGAACCTAAGCCATAATAGCCGATCTGGAAATTCTCCAATTTAGGCTATTTTTGTAATGTGGTTTTCAACACACTACAATTCAGGTTTTGGTGTTGAATCTGTGTTTAATTCAAGATTTAGGAATAAACAAAGAGCTGTTAACAAAATAAAGCCTGCATTGCTCTCTGGATACATAACAGTTTAATACTTAGAGCAGGAGTGACTAAACATTAATGACACAGGATCTACTTTTTTGGACCCATGTTTGCATGATCTTTCTCCTTATGTGTATGTACACACACACGTAGTTATTCAGGACCCTGATGAAAGTGTGGGGATACAATACAGAAACATCGACATATTGACTTTGTTTGATGTAAGGTAATAAAACTTAAGTTTTATTTTTTTCAAAAGTCCTGAGAATGCTATCATCTTTTTACTTGTATTTTGTTTTGCCTGACGAGCACCGGGCTGAGGAAATCATTGGTGAAGGGAGTGCAAGATTATTTTTAATAATTTATAATTATTTTTATAATTAAATATAATAATGTGGTTTGTAACAAAGGTGCACTGTAAATATTATTGAAATAAAACGTATCTTAATCAATGTGCTGTGTGTACAGATATACAATAACAAAAGTATACAAAGGTGCACTGTGCACATTAGACAGTCACGTTATATTGTGTGTCCATTCAAATGATATGAAAGTAAAAAAGGAACAAAAAGCTATAGTGTAATACTGTAAATGTATTTAAAAGCAATATATAAATAGAATGAACCACAAACAAATCAACAGCAGGTGGAGACTGCTCAGGCTATACGCGCCCCAATATCCAACTCAATATGATGCTATGGTATGAACCTCCAAATGGCAAATTATTGATGAGTCGCAATATTGGCAAGTAGATTTATTTGACACAAAAATAAATAAATAATAGCAGTCGGTATAGGAAACCACAAATTTCTTCTAACAGTTCTTTCCCAGTGCAAACGATACCCAGGTTTCCAAAGCAAGTTAACATATGATTGAAAATGAAACCATTTTTTCATGCTGATTGTTTCAGTCACAGCTAGGGAAGATGTGGCTAAGGCTGCATACACAGACTCAAATGAGATTTAAAGGCAGATAATTGAGCAGTGAGACACACTCCCTGAGGAAGTGAGCGCAAGAAGCGATTGAACACCGTGATCCCTGTGTAGTTTGGACCAAACGAGTACCCATACCACAGCATAATACAGCATTAGAGAGCACGAAACCGGAGAGACGCCGAAGTGGACAGATTGCAATAATCCAGTATGGACTAAGTGAGCTATGAGGAGCGCTGGTCCCTACTATCGTAAGGATTCTAAAATACCCACATACACAGGATTAAAACTTCAAATATCTCTGCACCTCAAGCTACAAGGTCTTACCTTACAGATAAAGGAGTCTCCGTGCAGCACGTCAAACCTTGGGAGTTTGCTATAGTCTGTGAGAATTCTCAACCCCAAACTTTTTTAGTTTATGAATGTACCAGTGTATGTTTTATTTATATATGTTTTAATTATTTAAATAAAGGGTAAATTAGTATAGTAGTCTTATTTTCCTTTTGCACTTTTTAGGCAGTATCCACAAGACTGCATGGGCATGATCTATACACTAAATCTGCTTCATTAAGCTAAAGTGGTTTTAATGTCTGTTGTATTCCTTTAAGTCTGGATGTCATTACTACACATTCCATATATATAATTTGTCGTATCAACAAGTCCAAACTTATTTGGGAGCAGCCATCCTCCACCATGGTGTACCAGGCTCCACTTTTCCGGTTCTCTCTCCCAGAATGCCACACAGAATAAATTTTTTTTTTTTAAATGAAGTCTTTAAAATGAAGAATCACTCAGCAAGCCTTAGTTACTGTGACCCACAAGGAAATTTTCCAGTGGGCAAGCCTGAGAACCTAGTATTGTCACTGCTACCAAACAAGGTCTACCTGTCACCTGCCTGAGATCATCTGGTAGATTGTGATCGGCCGTTTGACCACCCCAGGCTTAGAAGGTACGCCTGAATAATGGTCCAGCGACATATTCAATGCAGTAAAATATAAAACTAAAGAAAAGTTCAGCAGTCCTAATAAAGTCTACCTTGAAGCTTGACAAACATAACGTGGTGGGAATATTGCTGTACTATTTTGTATCACTTATAAATACGCTCAACAATTTCTTTACTTTTGGATTCTACAGATCGTTGGGCAAGACAGACAATTGTCAGTCAAGTGCTCAACCATCTCAGCATACAGGTCATTTTATTCCACACATACCTAGAATGGAGCTGGAACACACCAGCATGAGGTCATGTGCATGTATTTCAGCCAAGTATGGAAAGCTTGAACACAAGAGCATGATGTAAAGTGACAATATGCATGACATCATTTATATCAATCACATAGACTACCACTAAAAAACAAGGCCAAAGCAGGTCCAGGTCAGCTAGTCCATAAATGAATGCTATGTATGAAGGTTTCGGAGTATTCCATCAGGGAAACAGAATGGTCAAAGCATATATAATAAAAAAAAATACAAAAAAAATGTATTCTCCTTACCTTGTTTACAGCTGGATACATCTGGCTTTTCTTCATCCGAACCTTCTATGTCCTCAATGTGAATCCTCACACCTTTGCTTACAGTTTCTTTCTCAATAAGCCTTTCCACTTCAATAAGAACTTTCTGCCAAAAAACAAATATAGATATATTGTTTTAAAAAAAAAAAAAAAAAGAGCCAGGATTAGGATACTAAAAACCCATGTAAAAATTAACTTCTGTGCAGCTATACGTTCCTACACCAGTATAGCTCTCAATCAATGGTATAAACATAAACAGCAAAAACTGAGAAAAATATGAAACAAGTGCAACAAGAATGCTGGTGCACCAAAACATTTTATTGAAGGACATAAAAAGAGCCAAATGTTTTAGGTAGAATACCCTTTATACATTGACAATGTATGCACATGAAATGCATTTTACAATAATTAAGGGCATTCTACCAAAATGTTTGTGCTTTTGTAGGTCCTTCATATTTAGTGGTACTTTTTAAAGCACCAACATGCATATTGGGCTTGTTCTAGTTTTTTCAGATTTTTGCTACCAAAAAACACAAAGAGAAACTTAGTTGAAAGAGTTGTATAGATGACTTGCTGTAGAACGCTTAAATCTGTAGCTAAACATGTAGCATTGAACTTCTACAATAGGGGTAGGTTTTGCACAAAGCAACAATAAATGCATTAACAAAATGTTGTAACATACACACAGCACAGAATGTGATATACAGCACACGAATTATCAGGCTCTAGGGTTTATTAACCTCCTGTGATAGAGAATCAGGAATGTTTATAGGCCAACTAGAAATACTACCACCTTCATCCCAGCAATGGGTACTGAAAGCAGTCAGCAATCACAGCCACCCATTGCTGCTCAAGTTAACGGAACACTATAGCGTTAGGGATACCTAACGCAATAGAGCCCTAGTCACCATTTAGGTGACTAGGGCCCCATTCAGCAGCAAATAAATGGTTAACCATTTATTTGCTTACCTTAATCCAGAGCCGGGCTCCCTCGGCACTGGTGACGTCTCCTCCTCCATCGACGTCAGCTTCTGAATGGAGCCGAATGTGCATGCTTGGCTAGAGGCGTGCGCGCATTCAAACCTGCCCATAGTAAAAGCATTACTCAATGCTTTCCTATGGGGATAATTTTTGACACTTAACTTCGTGAGGACGTCCAGCGTCAAATAAGTGCGATTTTCACAGTGAGAATCGCGGAAGCGCCTCTAGTGGCTTTAAGGGAGACAGCCACTAGAGGCTGGATTAACCCTCAATGTAAACATAGCAGTTTCTAAGTGGTTCTTTAATGCTTCCTCAAAAGCTCAAACAAAATGATGGGATGGGCTGCTATGATGTGCTCCCCATTAACAAGTAGCAATGGTAATGTTACCTCCTCCAGTCTGGCGTGAGGATTTCTAATGAAGAGCTGAGTAAGGAATATTGCGTCTCTCACTAAAAGGGCATTGTCACCGAAAGCATCATCACTCAAATCATTATATTTCTCTTTTATGCAAAGTGTTTATGCGTAGTGATTTACTTTAATTAAAATATTAAGATATGTTTGGGATCTAGTGAATTAACAATTACTTCAGAATGTACATTTTTTTAGCAAAGTTTGGGTATTGGTACTGGCATACAAGGTTTGGTGATTAGCTTTATTGGTGTATGTAGACTTTGGGGGTTAATTGGGTGTAACGTTATGCTCAGGAAGAGGAGTTGAGTAGTAGTAGTACAATTGTAAAAGCAGAGGCTCAGTATTATGAAAGGGACACTCCAGACCCCTAAAGCACTTTAGCTTACTGAAATGCTCTACGTGTGAAGAGTATGTTCTATGGTTTGTTTTTAATTAAATTTACAAAATGCAGATTTTAACAGAAATTGGCACTTTTACAAATAAACCTTGTTACACCCCCTGGCTGTCAATCATACAACTGGTCTGGTTACTTCCTTTTTTGTTTAGCTCAGTGGAGCCAAGCTCAATAGACAGCAATTACCCAGAGCACCTCCTTGCAAAGACTTTGCATTGGGAAGTCTGATCGGACAGCCACAGATATTCTTGGCAGGGTTAGAAGGGGAGAGCTTGAAAAGGCTGTAGACGAAAGAACTGAATGTTTTGCTAGCTGGTTTAGATATACGCCCAATGAGAAAATGTTTTATTAAATGTATGCATGTCTTCATTGGTAATATATGTCTACTAAACGATGATATAAATATATATTTATTTTTGGGCAGTGAAATGTCCCTTTAATCCCTTCAACCTACTCTCTCACCACTGTCAAGGCATAGCAGAAAGTCCTGTCTGTGACAAACAGAACATGAAAAAAACCTCCACAAAAGGTAAATTCTTAAATCTGTCTCCACGGCGAGATCAGGCTGCACTGCCACAGGGGGATAAATTTACACAAACTGTCATTTGTCAAAAAAATGCAACAATTTGGTACATTTATCCTGTTATCCCTTAACCTTAAAGCTTCATATATTTTCTGGATTCACTAGGCATGTTTATTGTAGTCACCTTAAAGTGGCTCTGTCACCTTCTATGGTCTTTGCATATTTTGCAAAGACCTCAGATGGTAACATAGTCGCTTAGTGTGTGGTGGCCTGAGGGTGCAACATATGTAGTTAGTAGGTAAGTTAATAATATTCTTTACTAAAACGTATAATATTTATTCCAGGAAAAAAATTAAAGAGCACACAACCCTGTTAACATACTCACAGGTCACAGTGAGTCGTGTTTTTACGGTGTTCACGACTCCAAAGACAAATTTTACTTTATTATATTTACATTTAATTATCTGTAAATGTTTGACACTACACATAAATCTATATAAACATATATAATACCTTAGCAGTACAATTGTCCGGGTCCTGCTGTAAGATCGCCTTCAGATCACAAGCCGCAGAATGGTAGTTACAGAGGTTTTTGTAGACTGTAGCACGCCGTAAGAGAGCTAAAATAAGAAACATATCGCACACTTATCTTAATAGGGAAGAGCAAAAAAAAATAAAGACTTTATAAGTGGCAATACAATAGATTTTAGTGAGATCCACACACAGCTTGCAATTTAAATTTGGTCTCCCTTCCCCATTACAATTAATATTGATTCTGCACAGCAAATACAAATTAAGCCTTTATGTACCTTGAATATTGTGCAAATTCACTATGATAACACAAAAAAATGCAGATTTGTGAAAATCATATAACAAATCTTTTGACTTTAACTCTTACACAATCTCAACACTTACATTACCATGAACCCGAATATAAATATGTCACACAATATTTAAAAAAACAAAACAATCACGAAGAACGTATTAGTGGAATAAAGAGGCTATCTCTGTGTTCTGGAGACATTTATAAATCACTCAACCTGCATGTGTCGTGGTTTATTAAGAGGTCTCCACAGCCTCTTCAGTGGCATTAGTTTCCCAAATACACAGTTCACCATTATGTATGTTTCTTAATATTTAAGACTTTATATATGAGTCACTAATAGGTGACAATATCTGTAGGGGCAGATGTTAGTAGCAGAACTCTGCAAAACATAATCCAGATTGTTGGAAACCTGTTGGTAAAATGTAGCCTCAAATATATGTAACAGTTTGCAGTACACATCAAAAAATTACATAGGGAACGAGTTGAGCAAAATCTCACATGTGACAGTGGCAAAACATGCAGGTAAGGTTTCTGATGACAGAACCATGTAATGTCTACAATTTTTTCACCTCAATCTAACCTGTGCGAGTTTAAATAGTTTCTTTAGGGACCAGAAACACTTTGCTAAAAAGTTTTGTACCATAACACAACATTGTACACTCTACACCAGCGGTTAACAAACTATGTGCTGCAGCGCCTCAGTGTACACAGGGGTGCCACGGAATGTTTCCCTGATGCTAAGATTTTAGCAGCGGGGAAACATTACTGCTCAACAGGGACCTGGTCGACCGCTTTAAGACCGCGACTGGGCCCCTGTAATGTGGGCCAGCTGGGAGGAAGTGACTTTCTCCCAGCGTCATGCAGAGAGATGGCTTTGGAGAGAGAGGAGGCAGCCGTAGCGTGACAGGAGAGGAGCACGACCAGGACCAGGACTCCAAGCCACCCTCCTGGACACACAAGGTAAGTTAACAGGAGGGTGGCTGGAAATATAAAAAAATAACTTGTGTGTGAGTGTTTGTATGAGCTTGAGTGTGTGGATTAGTGTGAGTATGATTGTGTGTGTTTGAGTGTGTGCGCATGAGTATGTGTATGAGTGTATGTGTATAGTGTTTGTGAGTGTGTATATATATATATGTCTGCTTCTGTGTCTGTGTGTCCGCACACATTTATGTATGTGCTTCTGTGTGTCAGGGTGTGTGTTTTTATGTTAGTGTGTGTATCTGTGTCATGGTGTGGGCATGTATCCATGTTTGTGTGTGTATCTATGTGTGTGTATGTGTCGGTGTGTATCTACATGTGTGTACGTGACGATGTCTATATGAATTTGTGTGTATGTGTCGATGTATTTATATGCATCTGTGTAAGTATGTATGTATGTATGTATGTATGTGGTAGTGTATGTGCATACATCCAATCAGTGAAACAACAGCACAACATACAAGTACACTCCTGCAATCTAACACAAATATTACATACACACACCTGCATTCAAACTCAAATACTTTACACAAATGTACATCTGCATTTAAAAGTGAACATTACATTCAGACACACCCCTGCAATAAAACACAATAAATGTATACAAGCACCCCTTCAAATACCAACACTGTAAATTACACTATAGCGCAAGTAAATGCCGCAGCGCTGTACAGATATAGAACCTAGAAAAATACTGAAATATTAAGGGTGCCTTGAACCTAAAAAGTTTGGGAACCACTGCTCTAGTTTTTGAAATAATCATTTGAGCCAAATGTACAGATTAATTTCCCTCTTACCTTTCATATTGCCTGCCTCTAAATCCAGAACTCTTTCACAGTCACTCAGCGCATTGTGCCAATTCTTCAGTTTAATCTCTGCTTGGGCTCGGTTGTTATATGCTGCTGCTGTGGGTAACACCGATATACTCCTACAAAAGAAAACGCTGGTTGTGATTAAACAACTCTTCCAACACTAAAATGTAAACTGGAGCAAATTAAAATAAGAATGGCAATATTAACTAATTTAACAAATATACAATTTTTCTATTCAGAATGCGTTCCAATTTGGAGTTTGGAGAATGACTAAGTACAAAGTCGACCTGAAAAACCCTCTGCCTCATTACATACTATGTAATACAGTCTGCAACCACCTGACTTTTCCACTTGTATCAGCTCAGTGATGCTTTCCAGTGGAATAACTGCGTTGAAGGTCACATTGTCGTACTGAAAATATCATTAATCTTATTAGATCAATTATTTGTATTTAGTTTTACCATGAAAACATATTATGGATGACCAATATCCCTCTCATTGCTTCCAATGGTGTTGAGTAGTAGTGTTGCTGTAGTTGTTTGTGGTCGGTCTTTCTTCGGGTGCTCTGTTTCCATTCTGTTGATTCTTTGTGTATCCGGGTTGTGAAGTAGCGGGTCTGTGTCCATCCCGTGGCGGGGATGTGGGCCTCCTGTTGGTGCTTTTGGTGGATCTGTCTCCGTTTGGGGGTTTGTGTTGGGGGCGATGGCATTGAAGTTCTAGTACTTCGCGTCCCAAAGTTCCCAGGTCCGGTGAAACGCTTTGTATGAGTCGTGTATCTGTGCCATTAGTTCTTCTAGGTCTTGTGTCTTTGGTTTTGCGAATGATGGTCGCTATGTTGGGGATCCGCTGGTCTGCCCACAGTTCCGCTATTGGTCGCCTTGTTGCCAAGGTTATGCGGGACACTAGCTTGTTTTCGCTTCTCATGAGGGTGTCCATTGGTTTCGTGAGTAGCATTGTCCATGGCTGTGCTGTTATGGGTTTTTCGAGTTTTTGTTCTTTGAGTTCTTCTACTTTGTTCCAGAGTGGTTTGCGTTTGGGGCAGTTCCACCAGCAGTGGAGGTAGGGGCCCGTTTCGACACATTGTTTCCAGCACTGGTCGTTAGGTTTTTGGCCCATTTTGTGGAGTCTGTTTGGTGTCAAGTACCAGAGGAACAGGGTTTTGTAAGCCTGTTCCTTGTGTGTCACGCATATTGTGAGGGATTTTGTCGCTTCCCATATATCAGCCCAGTCGCTCGGTTCTTCCGGTGGTCCTATGTCTCTTTCCCAAGCTGCTATGTAGGTGAGATTAATCTGGGACGTGTGGGTAGTTAGTGTTATATATATGTCGGATATTTGTCCTTGGCGTAGCGGTGCGTTGAAGCTCTGTTTTTCAAATGTTGTCGGTGGTGACATTCCTGCTTGTGCTAGGTCCCGTAGTTGGATGTACCGGAAGTAATCTGCTGTGGTCAGCGTTTCTGCCTTAGGGAGGTGCGCGTATCGGAATATTTCTCCTTGTTTGTAGAGATTCATGAGTCGGGAGATGTCTCTCTGATCGAATGCGTGAAAGTATTTCGCCGTCATTCCTGGCGGGAAGAGTTTATTTCGGTGTATTGGTGTTACTGGGGATAGGAAGGAGGACAGTTCAAACTTGGTATTGAGTTTGTCCCAGAGGGCTATCGCATGTGTGATAGCTGGTGAGGTGGATGGTGGTAGCGGTCTGTGCTTGGGAGGCACCCACATGTACGATGATGGTTGTTCCCAGCCCATGACGTTGTGTTCCAGATCCACCCATCTCTTTGCGCCCGGTGGGGCCTGCCATTGTTGGATATGGGCCAGTTGGGCTGCATGGTAGTATTGCTGGAAGTTCGGTAGTCCGAGCCCTCCATGGGTTTTGGGGATGTACATAGTTGCTCTGCGGATCCGGGTTTTTTTTGCTATCCAGACAAATCTGTCTATGACTGCTTGTAGGTGTTTACAATCGGTTTTCTGTATTGGGATTGGCAGTGTCTGGAAGAGGTAGAGGAACCTCGGCAGTAGGTTCATTTTGATGGTAGTAACTCTGCCCATCTTTGTAGGTCGGTGTATGCTGTTGCTAATAGTGGTTTATAGTTGAGGTCGTAGATTTTCCCAAGGTTGGGGGGACATTTTGATGCCCAGGTATGTAAGAGAGGTGGTGGTGACGTGGAAAGGGAATAGCTGGCGCAGGAGGGTGATCTGGGTGAGTTTCATCAACATTGGTCATTCACTGTTCTTTGTAGCATGGACAGCCATAATCCAAATTCTGCAATAAATTTTCTTATTTCCCACATATCCATCTTATTTTCAGAGCACATGGGACTCCCAAAATAAAAAAGGCAGATTCTTCCCTTCTTCATCAAATATATAATGGCCCTTTTGGCATGTTACCTATCCATAAGTCAAACACAGAAAAAATTCTAGTTGGACTCATGAGTGCTGTGATTTGCTGGGACAACGATGTGTTTGAACATCTGGTCAAATTTTAACTAAGACTAGGGATAGAGTGGAACCCAGCAGCACCAGAGGTACGTTTTTAGGATATCTCTACAAGTGTGGTTGTAAAAACAGGCACTTTCCTTGGCAGCATGGGACAATGGTATACTAAAATGATTGACTGAATAGCTCCAAACATAAGTGAGACATAAGTTAGGCAATAAAACACCCTCAAATACTGGTCTTGACGAGTCTTACAGATGGAGTTAGCCTTTAAAAGAGAGTGGCATTTTCAGTTTCGCTGCCTGTTTCCTACTGGGCTGCACTCATCTAAACATGCATACATTACAAGAGAGCTTCCCCATCCTCCTTGTTCATTGTATGTGAGGGTGCATGCTGCTAATAAGGCCGTTGTGAGCAATGTATTTGTGTGGCTAATAAAGTAAGTAAGTGTTAAGCTACACATGTGTAGATAATTGCACGTGTATGAATGGCTTATAGACATGCTTGTATGTGCAAATGGCTAATTTGACATGTAGGTGAGGAAAGGAGGGGGAATTTGATGACTGCCAATGGGGGGGGGGGGGCACCATTTTGCAAATAATCCCTAAAAAAATAATGTTCTTATTCAACCTGCAAACTATCTTTTCCTTACACACCCTGCCTCGTCTTCCTGAGTGTTTTAAGGTATCATATATACACATTTCTAAAAGTGATACTTACCTATTAAGATAAGAGGTCATATGAGAGTACTGGGCATTACAGTAAGTGCAGCAGATAAAGAGCATGTATGGTTTAGTTTTATAACCATAACGGATGCACTTTGTCTTAACAAATTACTTTACAATGCTGGAGAAGTACTGGAGAAGTACAGCAAGCACAGTGATGACACAGACATAGAATAAAACTTACCAGGAAAGGTTAAATGATGTTAACATGTATAGCTTGGAGGAAAGACGAGACGGGGGGATATGATAGAAACATTTAAATACATAAAGGGAATCAACACAATAAAGGAGGAGACTATTTAAAAGAAGAAAAACTCCCACAACAAGAGGACAGTCTTAAAATTAGAGGGGCAAAGGTTTAAAAATAATATCAGGAAGTATTACTTTACTGAGAGGGTAGTGGATGCATGGAATAGCCTTCCAGCTGAAGTGGTAGAGGTTAACACAGTAAAGGAGTTTAAGCATGTGTGGGATAGGCATAAGGCTTTCCTAACTATAAGATAAGGTCAGGGACTAATGAAAGTATTTAGAAAATTGGGCAGATTAGATGGACCGAATGGTTCTTATCTGCCATGACATTATATGTTTCTATGACATGCAATATAGAGAGTATAGCATGGACACATTAAGATCTCACATACGGCTTACCTAGTATAATAAGCTACAGCCTCCTTATAGTCATCAGATCGAAACGCTTCATTTCCTTTGTCCTTCTCACGGCTAGCAATAAAACTTCTTTGTGCTTGATTTAGACCTAGATTACATTATCAGATTAGCACTAAAGATATTCTAAAAGAAGGCGGATTTTTTAAAACATTCTTTCTTTTAAAGTTTTTTATAAAATTACAAAACAATAAACAGGTGATGACACTTAAGAACAGTAAATAAGGAAAATAGGGAAAATAAAACCCAGGGACACCTTCAGTTATTGTATATTTTAAAAAGTGCTAAGTAGCAGTGAAGCAAAATTCATACTACCAAACTTGTGTGAAGATTATGCCAAATACTAGTTGGGGGGTAAATTTCAGACACCAAGGGTAAGTTCAAACTCATGTATCAAATCCAGATCAAATGGACAGAGGAGAGCCATACCTTGACAGACATTGTAATGGAATGAGGGTGCCTAGAATTATTGTGAAGGAACAAGCTCAGTAAGAAGTATATTGTATATTGTTATCTGTCACTTCTGTAGAGTGAATCCCAAACAGCCGCTTTAATAACTTTATGTTACAGAACAGTGCACAGAGAGATAGGGAGAATATGTAGAGCACAGTGGAATATATTGTCACTTAATGACAGTCTACAAACCTGCTGTATCTATGGTCTTCTTTATTTCGGATGTTGAACTATTTATTACAGTTTTTGATGGCACTTCTTCTTTTGAGTTCACTTCAATTTTGGATATTTCTTTTTCCACATCAAATCTGGAAGAAGAGAGAAAGCGGGTCAGCAAGAGATGGATACGTTTAGATGCCTGTTTTGACACATACAAGTACAAGTAAGAAGTAATGTGAATGTCAAACTAATTGTGCACGCCTTTACACGTAGCTATTAAAAGTCTATAGGAACTACAGGCAACAGTCGCTAGGCAGTGGCTGAGTGACAGGCAACAGAGGGTTGTAGTCAATGGAGTATATTCAAAGCATGGGCTTGACACCAGTGGGGTACCTCAGGGATCTGTACTTGCACTCATTATCTTTATTATTATTTTTATTAGTGATATTGCAGAAAGTCTTGATGGTAAGGTATGTCTTTTTGCTGATGATACAAAAATATGTAACAGAGTTAATGTTCCAGGAGGGATAAGCCAAATGGTAAATGATTTCGGTAAACTAGAAAAATGGTCAGAGTTGTGGCAACTGACATTTAATGTGGATAAATGCAAGATAATACATTTTGGATGTAAAAACCCAAGGGCAGAGTACAGAATATTTGATTCAGTCCTAACCTCAACATCTGAGGAAAGGGATTTAGGGGTGATTATTTCTGATGACTTAAAGGTAGGCAGACAATGTAATAGAGCAGCAGGAAATGCTAGCAGAATGCTTGGTTGTATAGGGAGAGGTATTAGCAGTAGAAAGAGGGAAGTGCTCATGCCATTGTACAGAACACTGGTGAGACCTCACTTGGAGTATTGTACACAGTACTGGAGACCGTATCTTCAGAAGGATATTGATACCTTAGAGAGAGTTCAGAGAAGGGATACTAAACTGGTTCATGGATTGCAGGATAAAACTTACCAGGAAAGGTTAAAGGATCTTAACATGTATAGCTTGGAGGAAAGACAAGACAGGGGGGATATGATAGAAACATTTAAATACATAAAGGGAATCAACACAAAAAAGGAGGAGACTATATTTAAAAGTAAAAGAAATACAACAACAAGAGGACATAGTCTTAAATTAGAAGGGTAAAGGATTAAAAATAATATCAGGAAGTATTACTTTACTGAGAGGGTAGTGGACGCATGAAATAGCCTTCCAGCTGAAGTGGTAGAGGTTAACACAGTGAAGGAGTTTAAGCATAAGGCTATCCTAGCTATAGGATAAGGCCAGGGACTAATAAAAGGATTTCGAAAATTGGGCAGACTAGATGGGCTGAATGGTTCTTATCTGCCGTCACATTCTTTTTTTTTTTTTTTTAAATACATTTATTTTAGTTTTATCACAAAATGCATAAAAAAATAATTTACATACAACACACTTCACATAGGTATTGGTTTGGCACAAGTTACAAAAAACACAAAACGATCTGACAGTACAAAATATCTTAATATATTAATAAACCAAAATACAGGTAATAACCTGTGCTATTCCCCAATCTACCCGGGGGGTACTCTACCCAACTCTTATCTCCAATCTCCCAATTGTCCTATATTAGAGGCATACTCCAGGGCCACATCTTGGTCGTCATTTGCCTCCATATCCTGGGAGGGGTGTCCTATAAAATATGAGCATCTTCTATAAGGAAGATAGAGGCGCTCTGTATGAATAAGAGTGAGAAGGTATGCAGAAGGCCAGGTAATGGATAACCCGGGAAGAGGGGATAGCTCCGTTCAATACCCCTGTTTAACAAACACACACATATCACATACATTGTTCAGAGGTTCCATGGGGATGTGAGCTGACGAGGAGAAAAGACTATCCCCTTAAGGACACATGACGGAAATATTCCGTCACGATTCCCTTTTATTCCAGAAGTTGTGTCATTAAGGGGCTATAAGGAATTTTGTCCAAGGGATAAACAATAGTCATCCCAAAGGGCCCATCTATACTTCGGAGCTGTATAAACCCCTAAGTGTCCGTCCTCTCTTTTTAGTATTCTGTTTCTCTGCATCACCCTTTCCACATCTGACCATTTTGGCAACATTCCTGCTTTCCAATTTAGAACGATCAACCATTTCACTATTGAAAAAATATGAAGCAGGAGGGATTTTAGTTCTTTTGTGCGGTAAGTAGGCATAAAGTGAAACAGAGCCAGTTCTGGGGTTAGATTAATCTTTTCACCAATAATTTGAGATATCCCATATTTTACCTCCTTCCAATACTTTTGTATGGGAGGACAGGACCACCACATATGTATCGCTGAGCCTACTTGGTTACAGCCTCTCCTGCAAAATTTAGATGTGTCATCTTTCTTTATTTTCCAAAGCTTAATCGGCGTTACATACCATCTGTTTACAATTTTAAAATACAACTCACTATACGAGACATGTTTAATTAATTTATCCGTTAAAACAGAAGCAGTCGACCATATTTCCATGGGCCAGGATTGATTTAATTCTTCTTCTCAAATTCTCATATTTAAACATTTGGTATTCAAATCCCTATCTCTCAAAAGACTAAAACTTTTTAAAAACCATATGCTTCTTATTTGTTGAACATATTTTTTCACAAGGAGACAGCTGTCTAAACTCTTTTAGGCGATAACTCGACGAGTAGATACTAGATTTCAACCTATGATATTCAATTCACATGCTAGTTAGACTGGATATATAGTCAAATGGAAGGAATTCATTATTTACATATATGTCTCTTAAGTATCTACATCCTACTTTCAGTAATATCTCTAACAGAGGGGAATGAATCTTTTCCTGAATCCATAAAATAGGAGTGATCGGACTTGGGAATGGAATCAGGGAGTATTTACAGTTCAGATTCCGCCAACCTTTGAGAGTGTACCATAATGTTGAAGTTTTGCACTAGACCACTGGATAAATCATCTCGAAAAAGGATTGAGTTCAGATGCGTTTCTTTAAAGAAGTAAGCTTCTATCGATGCCCAATTATTGTTTTGTGCCTCTTCTTCCCATCTCAGCATATGTGCCAGGAGGGAGGCTTCCTGATATTTCTTTTTTTTTATTCTTTATTTTCTTTGTGCAAGGAAAAGACATAACAGGCTTGCAGTGCCACAACAGTTGTTCTCCTGGTTTAACAATAGTTAGGCATTGGAGGATGTTGCACATTTTTTTTTTTTTTTTTTTATACACAGTAACGTTGCTCAACTATTATTTACTCCTGCTCTGTTTCTGTAGTGCAGTATTACACAGGCTTACAAGACTAACAGCTTAGGTGAGCAGTTTTTAGCATGGTGTTGCATTAGTTGATATTGCCCTTGTATATGTATTAATGTGAATGGTGCTGTACAGGGTTCACAATTAGCTAGGACAGAATACCTTAAAACTACCACATAGGAGAACAGTAGTATGCATGCTAACAACCTAGGCTCAGGCTAAAACAAAGCTATTAAAACTAAGCAGGTAAACATCCTAATCTGGTGAGTGCTATTTCCAAGAGTGAGTGAGTCCATGAATGCAAACAGTTGTGTGTTGAATAGTCAAAGAAACCTGTGTGGGTTTGAGTTGGTCTATACATATTCATGCTTAAAGGACCACTCTAGGCACCCAGACCACTTCAGCTTAATGAAGTGGTCTGGGTGCCAGGTCCAGCTAGGGTTAACCCATTCTTTCATAATTATAGCAGTTTCAGAGAAACTGCTATGTTTATGAATGGGTTAAGCCTTCCCCCTAATCCTCTAGTGGCTGTCTCATTGACAGCCACTAGAGGCGCTTGCGTGCTTCTCACTGTGATTTTCACAGTGAGAGCACGCAAGCGTCCATAGGAAAGCATTATGAATGCTTTCCTATGTGACCGGCTGAATGCGCGCGCAGCTCTTGCCGCGCGTGCGCATTCAGCCCAGGAGGAGGAACGGGGGAGGATCGGAGGAGGAGAGCTCCCAGCCCAGCGCTGGAAAAAGGTAAGTTTTTCCCCTTTCCAGAGCCGGGCGGGAGGGGGACCCTGAGGGTGGGGGCACCCTCAGGGCACTATAGTGCCAGGAAAACGAGTATGTTTTCCTGGCACTATAGTGGTCCTTTAATGTGTGGTCGCTTGATCTTGAGGAATACCCTCTCTTTGGTCCCCTACTGGAGTTGTCAGGAGGGGTGTGCAGGGTTAGTGGCATACAGACAGTTGTGGGAGTTCATCTGAGTCATGAAAAATTAGTAAAACACATAAAAATGGATGAGGTGATGAGTTATTTTCTAGACATTAAGTCCCAGTGCTGTGTGGTTCATCCGATGCCTTGTAGGGGCTGGGTGTGCTCCCCCTGTGCGGTCTGCCGCGGCTGTGCTGTGATATGTGGTCCTCTCTGTTCGGCGATGTGTGGGTGGAGTGTCTGAGCGTGGGCCAGCATCTGCGGTGATAGGTATGATGTGGCTCCGATAATGGGCCCGGTCCACCTGTGTGTTTGTTGGCTGTATCTGTGCCCTTGGTGTCATGTTGTCGCGGCCCCCCTGGTGAGCACAGTGGTCTGCCTTTTGTCGGCGTGAGTGGGGTGGTCCGTGCCTCTCTTAGGCTGTTTCATGGCTGGGCGGTGAGGCTGGGTTTTCGCCGCCGTCTTAATGTAGTGCCTCCAGTTTGTTTTGCCTTTGTCCGGCTGTGGTTGCTCTTAGTGAGGAGTCGGGTCTCCGCTAGTAGGGCGGTCTCTCTTGGGAGCCTGTGGGGAGGGTGGGGATCCAGCAGTATATGCTGGGGCTCCCACCTGGGTCTTTGGTGCAGGTTCTCGTGGCTTGCTCTCCAGTAGGCTCTCAGGCCCGTCATGAGTCTGGGTGCACCTGAGGGACATCTTCGCTTGTGTGGTGTCTGTTTGTGCGCCCCAGTTTTAGTGCCTCTTTGGAGTCTTAATTCGGGTTTGTTTGCCCTAAGTTGCAGGAGCTGGTGAGGCATGCTTCCTCACAGTTCAGCGGTCAGGCCCCGTCCCCCCTCATATTTCTTAATGTCTGGATATGCAATCCCTCCACCAGAAATGTTTTTGACCAAAATTGGTATCTTAATACGCATTCTTTTATTCTGATGGATAAATACATCAATCGCCCGCTGTAAATTATTCAGCAAATACAAAGGACACTGCCAGGGTATGCAGCGCATAATATAAGTGATCTTGGGTAATATAGTCATCTTAATCGCTGCTATTCTACCTGACCAGGAAATATTAAGATTTTTCCATGTGGCTAGCACTTGCATTATATTAGAATAAACTGATTGGAAGTTAACTGTTAGTTGTTTTTTTTCATTTCAGCGAACAGTTTAATTCCTGCCGTCACATTCTATGTAATGATTAATATCTAAAAAACAGTGTTAATTTTAGCTGTAAATTTCAATTCGTTTTAATCAGTCTTTTGGCTAGAAAGCTATTTTAGTTGTAGTCTTATTTTAGTCATCTGAATTGTTTTAGTTGACTAAATCTCCAGTGATTTAGTTAAAGCCTCTGTCTCTTTTCTTCCTTCCCCAGCCCCTCTGTGTCTCTGTGTCCTCCCAGCCTCTCTAGGTCTCTCTCTCCCAAGCCCTGGTCTGTCTCTTTTGTCCTTTCCACAGCACCTCTGTTCTTTTTGGTGGCAAATTTAAATTTATTTTTAAAAGCCGTTTTAGGTGTATTTTAGTCATCTGATTTGTTTTAGTTTAGTCTAGAATTAGTCGACTAAATCTCAAAAATTTTAGGCAACTTAAATTTGACTAAAATTGTTAGTCGACAAAATTAACACTACTAAAAAAAATTACAAAAAAAAAAAATTTCACTTCGGTATTTAAGTCAGCGTTTCCCAATTGGTGTTCCGTGGAACCTTAAGGTTCCGCAAGAACATAGCTGAGGTTCTGCCGTGAATCGCCATATCCAAGATGGCCACCGTGATCTTATTAAGAGATTGCGTGACTGCGCCATTATGCATAAATAAGTACAAAGTACAGTATGCACAATTAAAAACACCACCATACAATGTGATATATACTTATATCAAGGAGGACCTTACAATTTGTCTCTGGTTATCTGTAAAATATAAAACTGTACATAGTGTAATTATATATATATATATATATATATATATATATATATATATATATATATATATAAATAAAAAAAAAGATATTAAAGTACATAGAGGTAATTGGTCACTCACTCTTCCCAGAGCCACGTATAGCAGGCTCTGGCTGTGATGGCTTATCAGCAGATAAAGTTGCTGGAATGAATCCTGGAATTCTGTTACTCCCAAATATTCAGGAAACTGGAAGGTTTTTCTCAAATGGATTTACTTCAATAAAGTGCAGAAAACATGATATAGCAGCAGACAAATAATTAAAAATGTCCAAAGTAAAAGAACAACGCGTTTCAACCATATAGGTCTTCCTCAGGTTAACAGTAGAGTAGAGTAGAGTAGTAGTGGGATTCCCATATTTTTTTTTTTTGGTTAACCTTATATAGATATACTTTTTTTTTCTGCTTACTATCTGTAGAAATAAGTGATATACCCCAAAATTATTTCTTTCTAAGAGCTGTTAACAAAACAGCATCCTTTGCAGTCAGGTAGTGAAATCTGCATTAAAGTGATATTTTTGCTCCAAGACTGATTCAAAATCCTGCTTACGGTTAAAGGGACACTATAGTCACCAGACCAAATACAGCTTATTGAATTTGTTCTGGTCAGTAGAATCATTCCCTTTAGTCTTTTTGCTGTAAATACTGTATTTTCAAAGAAAATGCAGTTTTTACATTACAGCCTAGTGATAACTTCACTGGCCACTCCTCAGATGGCTGCATGAGGTGCTTCCACAGTGAGCAGCACTGCCATTCAGTGCCTCCTCCCTCTGCATGCAGACACTGAACTTTCCTCATAGAGATTCATTGATTCAATTCATCTCTATGAGGAGATGCTTATTGGCCAGGGCTGTGTTTGAATCATGCTGGCTCTGCCCCAGATCTGCCTCTTTGTCAGTCTCAGCCAATCCTATGGGGAAGCATTGTGATTGGATCAGACCACCATTTCTGATGATGATATTTTTTCACGTTAGAGAAGTGTTTTTTTTACCAACCAACAACCATGAATTTGGACATCTGGTTTAAGCAAGGAACGATCAAGAGAAAAATTATTACTACTTCTAGCTGTTCGGCACTTATAGAAACTGAGAACGAAGATACAACAAGAAATCCAGAAAACAGGTCCAAAATAGTTGAATCTACTGTTCCTCAAACAGCAGAGACAAGTGACAAGTCAAAGAAAAAAAGAAAAGCACACAATGCTAGCCAATCTTCTTCTCACGCGAAGAAATCATTTGGATTCACAAGTTCCAAAAATAAAAATATTCCTCAAGCACAATGATTACTTTGCAAGAAAATATTGCCAAACAGTATTTACCGTCGGCTAAATTATGTAATTTTGAGCAAAACCACCCAGAGTACAAAGATAAAGACATTGCCTTTTTAAGTGAAAGCTTCAGGAGTAACAGTTTATGAGCAAAATATTTTAAAATGATCATGAAAAAGCCACTCAAAAGGTTTGTGCTCAACATTTTTTTGGGGAGGGGAGGTTCCATGATGTTGGTATACTATGTCAAAGGGATCCATGGGAAAAAAATAATTGGGAACCCGATATAATAATTTATTGCACACACACACAGAGCTGCATATGTTGAGAAAGATTGACAATTTCAGTGTGCTGTGTCATATATATATATATATATATATATATATATATATTATAGATACAGCACACTGAAGTTGTCAATCTTCCTGCACATATGTTGGTGTATGCATTATTCTGTATCACGTGTTCAAAGGTAGGATACAAGGTGACTTGCTGTAAAGCTCTTTGGTGCCTCCAGCAGGTCAGAACATGTAATTTACACACAGCATATATTGGCAACATAATCTACTGACAACCAGGAAGCATTTTTTGCAGGATTAACTAAAACTATATTAATACAGTTACCTACACAGCCATAGATAAAAAAAAAAAAAATTATATATATTATATATATACATACACACACAATGGGAGGGATGTTTTTATATATAACATATTAATGCTCAATTAAAGAAAAAAAAAAAAACAATAATTAAGCATTCCCGTCTTTGAAGTTCCTGTGTTTGCTGCAAATCCCCAGAGCTACCAGAATATCCTGTGAGCTCCCAAGATAACAGCAAGTAGCTCAACATTCCTGATGTTCCCATTATTTTCAGTGGCTGCCTTAAAACCCAGAGCAGCTCGTTGCTAAAATTCCAATCCTCATATAAGGTAACTGTACTATACCGTCAGCTCTGTAGACAGTTTTGTATGAAGACCTTTTAGACGCAGACGCCTCCTTACAATGCACCCCACGCAAACAGCATAGGTTATTTTGGTGCAGGATATGTTCCTTTAAGTAAGGATAACAAAACCTTAATGATATATGCCTTGAATGATTCATTGAGTAAGATCCAATGCCCTCTGCTCTAAATTCAGAGAAGTTAATGTAAAGGCAGAACTTTTACCTTGGGTAGATTTACAGTGTCATAAGACTTTGACAGGTTAACAGTCTATATTAAACACACTGGCTGTGTAAACATTAAGAAATGCAGACACTCACAGACAATCCTGCAAAGTGTTTCTGTCTATAGAGCACCTTGCATTGACAATACACACTACTGCAGTAGTAGATTACTGCCCTTACTCTGTGGTCGGGGCGGAACTACCAAAGATGCAGCCTTTTATACAAAAAAAAAAAAAGCAATAAAATTTAAGGGGACACCTCAGGCAGCCAGACCACTTCATCTCAATGACAATTTCAGATTTAAGGGAAGAAAGCTTGCTCCTGTGTCTGCTGTTCCAGCTTATAGGAGATTCACCAGGGAAAGTCCTTGTAAGGACTAGACCTAATTCAGTGAAGTGGTCTGGGTGCCATATGCCGGTCTGTTTATCCCTGTTCCTAACAGCCACTAGAGGCGCTTCTACCCAAATAGTTTATTTGAAATCAGATGGTCCTTCACTACCCTCCTAATGTTTACATATGGAGAAACATTAGATTGGCCGAGATCATCTACACTGACCTTCTCAGCCAAAGAGGCAGAAAAGCAAGACAAAGACCAGCGCAGCAAGGACTGAAAGCTAAGCAAATCTCACATTTCAAACCCTGATGCAGCAGGGGAAGACTAACATAGGAATTTCAAATCTATAGCTTTAGGAGTACATGTTTGTATTCTTAACACTACCATGTTCCTTTAACCTAGACTTTTCCCAACAAAGAATAAATATGGATTATTTGAATAATCTCAGGAATAAATTTTGGCCAATATAGTATTGTTGGGAAAATATTTTTTTTTTTACTCAGAAATTGCTGAGAAGCCAGAGCGAGTTTTGCTAATGGCTCAACATATTAAATAAGTACATTTGGGAAACATTTTCAAAACAAATACATGTATTGGTTATTTCTCACCTGTCCCAGTCTCTATAATCCCGTGGCACTTTACTGTTCATTTCTTGTTTTCCCTTTTCTTTTGGCTATAATATATATATTTTAAAAAAAGCATATATTCATTAAGACATGCATAGTGGTAGCATATCTAGGAAATTATTTAAAGAAAAATAAATCTTACACACTGAGATGTTATACATATATACACTATCTAAACCCACCACTTATTGTGTATGTCCACTCTAGCCATGTCCCGAGAATGACAACGATACCATACTTTTGCTACATATAGACACACATTGAGGTTTATTAACTAAATTCCAAATTTTACTGCACAAATATGAATGACAAACATTAGGCTAAAATAGCCAAGTGATGACTATAGCTAAATTTGATAACGTTTCCACAAAAGCCAATTTAGCCCCAATTTTGTGATTTGGATATTAATTTGATATAATTGTGAGTTTAGATAAACACCATAATAGTAATGCATTACTTTGTAAGAAAGAATACCTTAACGTTCTGTGGACAGCTGGAGTAATCCCGTACAGGTGGCAAACTCTGGGCATTATGAGGTTCAGCAGATTGTTCCTGATCCTTCATCTTTATATCTGTTAACCAATTCTGTGGGAGAAATCAGAAGCAGGTAATATGGCATAAAACAAACAAAAAGATAAAGTTTACAAAAATTGTACCAGTAGAGGGCTGCCAACTTTTAGCCTACAGCAAAGTACAAACAAATTAAATTGTTTGCTCTCAAAACTCACAGATATCTATGTCAGTGTACCCCGTCCCCTACCCCTCCCATGCAGAGTATGCAATGTATAAATGTGACATAGTGAGGCTATTGGCATTGCAAGGTGTGACATTATACACCGCTGCAATCTCTATCAGTATGGCCTGATGGAGCATTCATGGAGATCTGTTCATGCTTACCAGACAAACAGCTTTCACTTGCAAACCCCCTACAAGGACATCATACATACTCATCATAATCTAGTGGCCTGATCAGCCCAAATACTCCACCATGTCAGCCCTTCCAGGACTGGAAAGTAACGGGTTCGCAAGTCACCAGTGCATGCATAAACCGATAGACCGGCTGCACAGCCTAAATCTGTTGAACTGTTTTGGGCATGAAAGCCATGCTTGCAGTCGATCAAATGTGACTTCCATAAAACTTTTGAACCCCTGCTCTGATCTGGGTGATTTTTGGATATGTTGTTCACCCAGATCGGGGCTATCCATGGATGCATATATTTATGGGGGTATGTTGTTGTTTTGGGGTGTTTCTGTCTTTTGGGTAAAACTGTATATTTTCTGCCTGTGTTAATTAAGTTAGCCCATTGTGTTCAGTAATTATATCACAGGCAGAGGGGAGGGTTTGTGTGCCTTAGCTGGGAGTGTCTGACTGTACGGTGTTGATTGGCTGTTGCAACTTTGTGTCCTGTGTACCACAAGGTCCACGTGGGTGGTAACCTTGTGGGAAAATATGTGTAAAAGAAACAATAAAGCCCCAGCTCAGTCTGTTCCTGCTTACACTACAAAACTGTGTGTCGTCCTGTTATTGGAGGGAAAGAAGATTTACTCCTGTGTCTGCTGCTTCAGCTTGCAGGAGATTTAAGGGAAGAAAGCTTGCTCCTGTGTCTGCTGTTCCAGCTTATAGGAGATTCACCAGGGAAAGTCCTTGTAAGGACTAGAGCCAATTCCCCATTCGGCTCCAGGGATGAGCGGTTCCAGGGCCCCAGTTCAGCCACGGCGACTGTGGGCAGAAGTGCTGCGGTTTGTCCCCTGTTCCAGCTAGGAAGCGGTCCTTTGGCGGAGGTACCCAGCTGGGGTACAGGGAGCTCCGCTACAAACCCGCACAGTACTAGTCTAGAAAAAGCAATGCATAAACCCTGCCTACTATTTCACTTCTGCATACTCTGCCAACAGACATTACAAATAATAAGATGCAAATGTCTTTCTGAAGGGGTAGGCAACCTTCGGCACTCTAGATGTTGTGGATAGCCACAATAAATAGCCACAATGATGGCAAAGCAAAGCATCAAGGAGATATAGTTCACAACATCTGGAATGCCAAAGGCTGCCTACCCTTTCAGCAAGACATAAAGGACGAAATAATAAGGGAGTCTGTTAATATTTACGGTCCGTGACAGTTTGTTTGCATGGTATAGTGTAATGTGTTTCTTTTCTCCATATTAATATGATTTTCTTCAGTGATAGATTTACATGTATACCTTTAAATCAATATCAATCTGTTGCCAATCTTCCAAGGAGAAATCTGCTGCAGTGGCTGGAGGCTTATCTTTCCGCAGAGCTCGACTTTGAGGAGACAGGTTTTCAATACGCTTTTCACAAAATAATGTTAAATCTGGGTAATGTCCCTCTTCGCCAGACCTAGAAGAAATTTAAAATGCTTTAATTCAAGAAATACATCTAGATTCTTACCCTTCTCTAAAGGGGCAGACACGAATAAGTCCTTGCAAGCAATGTAGGACAGGTAATCAAGAGTTAATGCACATTCATGAATCCTGACATCATGCCAGGTATCTCATAAATGCACTCTAGGATGCATTTAACCATTAGCATTGTACATTGTCTTAGCAGATACAATAAAAAAAGGTCTAAAGATGGCAGCCTCCACACAGCAAGCGTAAGTTAGGTGATGAACTGAACACAGTGTATTAAATTAAATGTATTCATTGCAAAATCATACACAGTGAGGCTATGATACATGTAAACTTATTTAAACTATTACTATTGGCAGTTACCTTTAAGAAAATAAAAAAACGTATTGTCAACACTAAAGGTTTTTCGTTATGGAATTACAAGAATTCATTAACAGGAAGTGATGATCATGAAAATAAAGTCAAAATATTTGTCTCCAACATTCTATAACTTGCATTGATCATTTCTAAATCTGTTCACTAGTTGTTGTTATAAATTTTGAAAGAAATATATATTTTTAGGGGTTTTTTTTTTTTGCATTTTCTTCGAAAAGCACATCCCTCTTTGCTACACAATGGAAAGCTGGAAGCTACTCGGCAAATCATGAATTCGGACAAGCTGTTGACATGTTCCATTTCAGTAATTGTCACTGAAGATTCGAAAATTGTGATGGATTCCAACATGGCCAGCTCCACACTGAAAATCTGTTAGAACGTCAAGTGGGTAGTTATAACTAAATTAATTATAGCTTGGTTGGATGAATATAATATTAATCTGCTTAGTTTATTATTGTAACCTTAATCTGTATAGTTTAAACCTCTAGTCTATCACAATCCCAATATTATAAACACGTCCTTTGCTCCTTGAACACTCTCCTAGTTGTTGTAACATTTGCCAAGTGTGACTATGTGAGCCATAGACTATGCTTCTGATAGATGCAAGTGTTAAAGCATACTATTACCCAGTTGGGGCTCCCAACTGGGTCAGCCACGCGGCCCGATGGACGGATTCCTCCAGTCCCAACCTGACGCGAGCGGGGAGGCAAGTGGCTCCAATATGGCGCAGATGGCCCATCCCCCAGGGAACCACATGGCGCCGCACTGGAGACGATTGGAGACGAACTCCGCACTATGGCTGCTGCAATGGCTACAAAAGCAGACCTCCTGGTCCTTACCACTACCATACAGGATGCACTTCGAGCTGAGATGGCGGGAATCCGGATGGAGGTGACGGCACAGGCGGGCCGCATTCAGGACCTGGAACGCTCGGAAGAGGCCCATACCACAAGGTGAGCTGTTACTGCACATGAGAAGGTCAGTCGAGGATTTAGATAACAGGGGGCGCAGATGCATTATCAGGGTCCGCGGGGTCCCCGAAACTGATGGAGGGGAAGAAGATGTAGAGGATGTAGAGGACGTTCTAATTGGCTTATTCCGCCTGATACTGGGAGAGGCCGCACCTCACACCCCTAAATTTGAACGAGCACATAGAGCCTTACGCCCCCGGTCCTTAGAAGACGGCCCGCGGGACTTGATATGCTGCCTCCACTCTTTTCAGGATTAGGATGCCATCATGAGAGCAGCCCACTCCCACCCGACCTGGGATTACAGAGGAGCTTCGGTCTCCCTATTTAATGACCTCTCCCCCATTACGCTTGAGGCCAGAAGAGCACTGAAACCTATAACCACAGCCCTACAGGAGCGGAACATACCTTATAGATAGGGCTTTCCCTTCGCCCTACTAGCTCGCAACCAGAATGGCTGGACATCGGTCCGTTGGCCCGAGGAGATCCTGAGATTCCTGGAGGAGATGGACTTACCTTCGATATCTGTTCAGGACTGGGTCCTAGGACCACTGGGAGGGAGATCCCGCCAACAGCGGGCACCTCGGAGGCGTGGGGACAATCCGCTAAGAGGTCCGGCACCCCGCAGACATAACAATCCGGAGGCGCCAGAATAACAGGTAGGCCCTCCACTCACTGCTTTCCCCTCATGACCCTCTCACTCAAGGGAACACTCTACCCTGCACGGACACTATTATAGGAACTGCTGTCTCTCCGTCCCGCTCCACGGACTGGGACACTGAGTGGATACCCCCCTGCTTTGCCCCATGTGGGATTCCTATCCATCACCGGGAAGCTGGACTGGGGCTGTCCTTTATTTCCCTGCCCTCAGGGAGCTTTGGGTGGGTGTGAAGAGTAATGCTTCTCCTCTTCGATGAATGGGAACTCTGGAGGGGGATCTATTGCCATGTGGGCCAACACGATGAACGGTACCGTGGATTAATGTTGGGGAGGTGGGATTGCTGCGGGGAACTTTTAGCTTAGGGTGGACCCTGATATTGGCCTTATGTCACGAGCCTACTATCGATAGCACCAGGGGACACCTGCGCCCATGACGGAGCAGGGTCCGGTAGGACATTGATGCGGCAAAACCGCACCAACTCTCTGGAAGACCTATGCTCTGGACTCACGGTATTCGGCAGTGCCCTCCAGCGTACACCACTGGTCACATATCTCACCCAACAAATTCGCCTCATACACCACGAATGTTTGTTGCGCACAATGTACCGTATTTAGATTCCATGTCACACATAGCTGTTATACACACGTTGTGATGGCAACTGTATATCACACTCGCTGACCATGTTGCCCCCCCTAGACATACAGACCGGTGGGATAAGCTGCCCACCCTATCCGGGGGTGTACCCCCAGGGGGCCGGGCGGTCTTGTGGCTGGGGGGGCGGCATCTCAGGCGAGGGAAGGGCAGAACCCTTCACGTTACTGACACTGGGGGGCAGACATCCGGGAGGTGGTGAAAGATGGAGGGGGGTCCTGACGGGGAGATACCATATTTGACTCACACGTGCATGAAGCTAGCTAGCGGGTCTTCCCTTCCCCATATGGGAAGGCGGAGGGGAACTGAACGAACCTTGCGCGGTTACCATATGCTTATGGGGGGCACCTCGGGGTCCTGGGGGATAGGGGTGGATGGAGAGGGATAGAATGTTGATACCAAGTTTATAAGTCTCCATGCTGTTTTCGCACTTTCCTAATGTTGCACTGTTAATCTATTCATGTTAATTCGTACCACTTCTGTTCGGTGGCGCCCTAGCTTTTAGATATTTCATATAGCACCAGGCTATGGTGCTGGTGGGAGGGGGGACCAACAGGTACTTTACTGATATCACACTTATCTTTCATATCCACACCGGATCGGAGTGGAGCCATTGACTCCAATTAAGGGTCGTGCATTTTCCTTGACGGCAGAGCCCCCGGAAGTCCACATTTCGGTCTGGTTACTGGGGTGGCCTCTGGCAACTCCTGCTGTCGCACGACTACTACCTCCTTACATTGGGGAGGTACTGAGGTGAACTCTCTTCTCATCCCCTCAGAAGGGACACCTCCACTTGGGAACTCTCTGTCTTACCCCATTTTTTTACTCTACTCCTTTCTACTCGCTATACCCGGCACCACTTATACTTCCCTGGTCGCCCTCCCTTGGCTCTGGCACAGGCACATACTATAGTCACAACACGCGCCCTCCTCGCACCGGTAGCACCCACCGCAACTGCCACAAACACAGTAACGACCACACAACCCGACACACCCTGCAGGACTAAGGGGAGGGAGAAGGGTCATTTTTGTACATGATAACCCCTGCATTAGTGACTCAGTTTCTCAACTGGGATCGCTCTAACTGGCCCTCCGCTCCCGCAGCTACACCAAACACTAGCACCTAGTGGACTACGCCAACAGGTGGGAGCTTGACGGGATCCTACAACTAGCTCAGGAGAGGGGGTCAGGAGAGTAGACGCCGAACTCTCTGCGTGCCTTGGACCGACAGCCGGGATCGCCGCACCTTACCACACTGCTCCTCTGCACGTCCTGACTCTTAACTATAGAGGACTGAACGTTCCCGAACGCCGCACCCATCTACTGTGAGACCTACGGAAGACGCATGTATTGATAGCTATGCTTCAGGAAACTCACTTCCTAGAGGGTTCCGCACCAAAACTACGGAACCGGTACTTTCCCAACAATTTTTTCAGCAACCACAACACGGCACGTAAAGCAGGTGTTGCCATCATCCTGTCTGCTGACCTGGGCTTCAGGAAACTGGACAAGATGATCGACACACAGGGGAGATTTATCTTCCTGAAATGCACCATTGCTTTACACGTTGGTATCGATCTATGTGCCCAATACAAATCAGACAAGATTCCTTAGGGGAACCTTGAATAAGCTACAAGGATTCTCGGAAGGGTCACTCCCAGATTTTAAAAAGTACCACCAAGCTACCACAATGCAACGTATCCTGGAGTGGCACGCAGCCGAAAATCCGAAAAACAATGGGTAATCCTGGACAGAGGGGAATCGGGGACCAAACTTAAAGTTGACGTATGGCGGGAAGGGACGGGTCGATGCGGGAAGGAGGGGGGCGGGGACCCAGTGGCACAGACGCTGAAGACATGAAAACCAGCTAGAAGATTGGCACGTGTCTCCCCGACCCCCAGCCCTATACACCCGTTCACCCACAACCCCAATATTGGAGGAGGACTCCCATATGGGACTTGGGCGTTTCTGGGGGAGAAGGAATATGTCCCGTTCTGCACAATTCTGGAAGGGGGAACCATTCGGTCACTAACCTCACTGTTGGCTGACAGACCACAGACGTCCCTACTAACCCTCCACTACCTACAACTGACACACTATTACGATTCCTTACCTCACAAAATCCTACTGCACAGAGACCTTACGTGGTTCGAAGGCCTATGCCGCCGACGTGCCACACTTGAAAAAGCAGTATCTACACTTTACCAACATCTGCTGGTAGGGGCCCTCTTCGGATAATAATACCGTTCAAAGACGATGGGAAGAACAAATGGACATACCAATCACAACAACACAATGGGGAACGGCACTACTATGGCAACCTAAAAGCTCCTCTAGCTCCTACTACCAGGAGGTCAACTATAAATTGATCTCCATGTGGTATAGGACAGGAGGTGAGAGGCACCTTGTTACACCTGTGGTGGGAATGCCGAACCATCATATTCATTCAGAAAATAAGGCAATCCTAGGGGATGACACAGAATGGTCTCGAGAATTGGCCCTACTGCATATCACCTCGCAATCCATCCCTGGATATAAGAGATCAATCCTACGCCACTTACTGAATGCTGCCAAATCCCTGATTCCCGTCTATTGTAAGAGATCAGAAGTCCCCACTACGGAGGAATGGCTCCATAGGATCGGAGACATACAGGCGGCGGAGGCGCTACAGGCATCCCTGGCGCGTCGTTCGACAAGACACGCGGAGACATGGCGACCCTGGTTCTCGTACCAGGCGGGTAGATAGTGGGCCCACACCATGCACATCAGGAGCGGAGGGCTGGACGGTAGATCCCAGACCCATCCCTTTACTGGCCATAAACTCTCTATAGGACACCTCACCTCTGCAGGAGACAATGCCCATGGAAACACACACTCCCTTGATGGTTCATGTCTTTTACAGAACACACGCACGCACACACGGGACGACCGACAGCACGGCGTCACGTAACCCCACTCAATGTCCGCACGACCGGTTAACACAAACCATGACCCCCAACACAGGCTACGGGATACACCACACAGACGGGCGACCAGAGGACCAACACACAGAGGGGAAGGCCTAACACAGCACACTATGTCTCCTGACATTTCCATAGCGGAAGATGATAGCACAGAAGCGGACTAGATTGCATTCCCTAGAATACACACCACAAGCCACTACAACAGAACCAGACAAAACCCGAACACTACGTACCAACACATCGCTCACTTCGCTTAGACCTGGAGGCGCGGAAACCAGGGAAGGACTATTCTATACCTACATAGCCTTTCTCTCTCTTTCTTTTCCTTACAACATTTACCTCTCCCCACTAAACTCATCCATGACTTGGGAACATTAGCACCATACTTGATGAACAAAAGCGGTATATACATACACAGGAGGTCATGCAACGAACATGGAACGTAAGCCACATATACATTTAGGTTACTGCCTGAAAATGACCACTGTGAAACTACTCTCATGCCGTATCTGTATACACTGCATATACACCAGTCATGCCCTATACCACTGTAACTAAGCATTGCTTCAAAGTCATATAACATGTACACTGAATTAGGTTGACAAATACCATGTGTTATAACCTGTCACAATGTTTTTCACAGAGGCCTGCGAGCCTCATTTTCTAGTTTCTTATTGCTTTTACCTCAATAAAATAAGATTTGCAAAAAAAAAAAAATTTGTAAAGGACAAGAGGTTTTATGTCTAAATGGTGACCATTCAATTTTGCTTTGCGGTTACACTTGGAGTATTTTTCAAGCTTAGCATACAAAGCACAAAAACACACAGTACCTGAGAACATGCAGGACCTTTTCCAAGTGCTTGACATCTGTACATTTCTCTATGAATCGGTAGTCCAGGTGATCAATAGGAATTGCATGTCTTTTAGTGGTTCCATAGTCCATTACTGAGTCTGAAGCACTCATTGCTATGAAATAAATATAAATATAATGATATATCACTATTACTATGCATTTTGTATTTTCATGTATTTTTATGTAATTAATCATTTTGTTTTTTACACACTGTATGGATGACGTCATTTTGGCGCCAAAATTTGAATAAGCATGTTTTATCATAGTTTATAAAAGTCTCTATGTACCAGGCTGATTTTTATTATTGCCAGTTGATAAAGCCCTGTGTGGCGAAACGCGTTTTGGCTATTTTATATATTTTTTATTGTACTAATAAAGGAATAGTGGCTCTTTTACAACAATTTTGCCATATACCTTTTTATCTTATTTTTAAAAAAAAAAAATTTAAAAATATTTTCTGTCACCTGGTCATTCACCAACTTGGAATCTACTCACGACCAAGAATCCTTGGTGGGGATTGTACCACCTATGCGAATATACTGAGCAGTTTATCCTGCTCATTCGAATGTGAGTATTTTTATTCCCTTATTTCATTTTATTTCATTTTGATTCAGTGAGCACTATATTCTGCTTTTATCTCCTTTTTATTACCGAGGAATTACCTTCACCTATATCCTACCAGTGGGGGATAAACGCCATTGAACGCCCAACATACTAGAGCAAGTTCATGCTCTAAGATAGGTGAGTGTACTACCTACCTATTATTATTATTTATCACAGACAGTCTACACTATTGGATCGTCTTTGTTGCTTATATTTTCCATGTTCACCTCTGAATCAAGACTCCTCTAAAGATTAGAAGATTCAGTCTCTTATTGGACTTTCTACTCCCAAATACTTACCGGAACCTGAAAGAGAAATATACCAAGTACTGTCACTATCATCCACTTATTTGAACTTTTTAAAGTATATCAAGAATTTGGACTATCTTTCTTTTTTTATATATATATTTGTTATATATATTTATTAAATCCCCTTTTCTTTTTACATATTTTTCCTCTTTTATGTTTTAAAGTGTTTGCCATATTTATCCCTTTTTCATTTGATATTTATGTAGCGCAACCTATTATTCTTGTTTTTGTCATAATGATATATCAAAATGGTAAAATAACACCAAAACCCTAAGAAGGAATAGCTACAATGTATTTTAGACACTTTCAGGATGATTTACTAAAACGAGAATTTATAGTGAAGGAAAACTGAATTTCAAATAACTTCATAATTTCATAATAGCTGTTCTGGAAACATTCTCTAAGCCAGTTGTGCTTTCAGTTCGACTACTGTGGCCTCAAAGTTGAAGTTCACTTTAAATTCTCACCTTAGTGAATGACCCTATTTGATTACGTCGTTGACCCTATTCTTCCAATCCTTGTAGACAAAACTGCCCCCTCCTAGGGATGTGTGTACAATATAAATATAAACAGGGTTATTTTCTAAAGTAAGAATTGGTAATTTATATTAATTTCCAAATTTTAGACCAAAATAGCTGAACTGGAAACAAGGCAGTCAAATTAAAAACAAATCTTCATAGTGCAAACATTTTGGTGTAAAATATGCACTTGCTGGTGAATTCCCAATTAGTTTGTAACTCTGCTTTATTACTTTTATTTTATAAACACAGGGAGAGGGTGGATAGCAGCAGCTCTGATTATTAAAACCTCATCTGGTGCACAGGGTCTAGGTATAATAAAAGGCCGTTAGAGAAACATTACAATCACCATAACGACTACAGATGGTGCCCTGGCGCCAACTCATGGTAAGATGTCAAACTGCGCTTCAATAAATCTGCGTTGGACTTCATCTGACTTTGTATCCGGTCCTCGTTGGATTGCTGAGGGAGTGGGGCCTGCTCTGGGCAAGTGACAACTGAATCATCAAGAAACATACACGTGCAACATAGCGTTGTAATATTCTCTTCAAGAGATACTCAGCTATTGGTCATTGCACATGGTTATATGGTTTGAACATAAAAGGTGAGTTTTATGGTAAAGCTTTACATATTACAAATAATCGAGGAGGAGGGAGCAATAACCTCAACACTAAGACTAACGTTAAAAATAAAGGTATTTATAAAGAATGCACGTGGTGCGGTAGAGCATTCAATTAAACAATATAAAAACCCCAACAAAACTGTCTTGATAACCTGATTTCCATCCAACAGGATAATACACTGATCAACCACAACATTAAAACCACTAAGAAGTGAAGTGATTAACATTGATTAGATCGTTACAGTGGCACCTCTCAAGGGGTGGGATATATTAGGCAGCAAGTGAACAGTCAGTACTTGAATTTCATGTGTTGGAAGCAGGTAGCCAAATAGTGATAGCTATACAACTGGGTCAGAGAATCTCCAAACTGGCAAGTCGTGGGGGGTGTTTACAGCAACCTGCAGGATTTAAAGGATCTGCTGCTAACAGCTCAATGGGAATTTGAGATTTTCGTTCTGAGTGCAAGGCTATTTTGTGTGTGCATATATGTTATAGTGACATACTTTATTTTGTATATTTTCTATAGTTATTATTATTAGCGCCATTTATATGGCGCCAACAGATTCCGTAGCGCTTTACAATATGAGAGGTGGATTTAACTATAAATAGGACAATTACAAGAAAACTTACAGGAACAATAGGTTGAAGAGGACCTTGCGCTCTTCCCGGTCAAAATAAACAAGTAGGGTCGACCATGGTGCTCCCCAGCACAATATGGACATAAATGAGTGCATTTATTTATTTAGTAACAACATGGGTGTAATAGGAAAACATGAACATTGACCTTTCACCCCTGCTAAAAATCTAATGATGTTAAAACACACACACCCTGACTACCTCCTATTCCCCAGAGAAATAATATCGATAAACTGGTGATGGCTAACCCCTGGCTGGCTCCCCATGGACTGCACATCCCATTACACTCAGCCAGGCCATGCCTGTACCCCACACCAGCCCAGTACTGTTATTATTATTATTATTATTATTATTGATATTTATATAAGCCATTCCCCCCATTACATACAGTATCTATTTACCTGGGAGGTCAGCTATAGCCGACAGCACTTAGTTCAAGCAGGATGCTCTAAGTACCGAAACCTTTAAATTAGGACTGTTTGCCGTTACCATGGAGACGCACCGCCCCCCTCCGAGTTAACCAATTGTAAAATCAACTGTCACCGCAGGCTCCCTAGACAAGGCTTAGCGTGCGACTCCCACCGAGCGCTAAGCACTAGAGACTGCAATAACGTCACTGCGGGATGAGCACAGGGAAGTACGTTATGGCGGCCATGTTTCCGGAGTCTGTTGAACGCTATTGGCCAGCTTCGTCCAAACTTTTTTTTTTTTGGTAAGGCGGGGTATTTTGGGTTAATTTCTGGATGTTTCCAGAAAGTCCAGGGATCGCCCTGGTCAGTTTTTATATTTTCAATAATTTCCAATACACATGTCCCTTTGATACCATCTGTGAATGGGCAGAGCATGAAGAGGGCTGCTCTATGTCATGTAGCACCCATGCTTTTGTCATAAATGTTCAAAATAAAATAAATATTCGGCTTGTGAGACCAATCAAATCAAGATAAGGTTAATAAATGACCAAAATAGAAAATAAATTGAATCTAGGAGTCCAGATTCAGCATTTACTGAGGACATGCCTATAAGCATATTATTATTATTTATTTTTATTTTTTAAATTACTAATGGCAATGGAGTCCAGTAACCAATATAGAAACATAGAGTGTGACGGCAGATAAGAACCATTCGGCCCATCTAGTCTGCCCAATTTTCTAAATACTCTCATTAGTCTCTGGCCTTATCTTATAGCTAGGATAGCCTTTTGCCTATCCCACACATGCTTAAACTCCTTTACTGTGTTAATCTCTACCATTTCAGCTGGAAGGCTATTCCATGCATTCACTACCCTCTCAGTAAAGTTATACTTGCTGATTATTATTTTTAAACCTTTGCCCCTCTAATTTAAAGGGACACTATAGTCACCCAGACCACTTTATCTCAATGAAGTGGTCTGGGTGCAATGTCCCTCAGGTTTTAACCCTTCAGATGTAAACATAGCTGTTTCAGAGAAACTACTATGTTTACATTTGGGGTTAATCCAGCCTCTAGTGGCTGTCTTCCGGACAGCCACTAGAGGCACATCTGCGATGCTGGAGGCATATTTCGCCTCCATCGCGCAGAGCGTCCATAGGAAAGCATTGAGAAATGCTTTCCTATTGACACTATGAATGCACGCGCGGCACTTGCCGCGCATGTGCATTCGGCTCTAGTGACGTCGGACGGGGGAGCTGACGGAGTGGGAGAAGAGATCACCAGCGCCAAGGGTGGCCGGCGCTGGATTAAAGTAACTGAAAGGGTTTTAACCCCTTCAGCGTCACGGGAGGGGGACCCTGAGGGTGGGGGCACTATAGTGTCAGGAAAACCGCTTTGTTTTCCTGACACTATAATAATCTTTTAAGACTATGTCCTCTTGTTGTGGTAGTTTTTCTTCTTTTAAATATGGTCTCCTCCTTTACTGTGTTGATTCCCTTTATGCATTTAAATGTTTCTATCATATCCCCCCCGTCTCGTCTTTCCTCCAAGCTATACATGTTAAGATCCTTTAATCTTTCCTTGTAAGTTGTATCCTGCAATCCATGACTCAGTTTAGTAGCCCTTCTCTGAACCCTCTCTAAGGTATCAATATCCTTCTGGAGATACGGTCTCCAGTACTGCGTACAATACTCCAAGTGAGGTCTCACCAGTGTTCTGTACAATGGCATTAGCAATTCCCTCTTTCTACTGCTAATACCTCTCCCTATACATGTACAATACAATGCAATATGAGGACCCTCCTGGTCACCAAAGCCAGAGAAATGCTTGTTCTCAGATTGAGGTTTTAGATGTGCTCCCAATCAAAACCATGCTGGGTTTTTCCAATATCTCTCCCAGTGGATAACTCAGGGAGCCACAAAAAAAAAAAAGGAAATGTTGATAATAGAATGAAATAAGTGAGGATAGGCGACTTCCTTCTTGTGGCACATGCATGTAAAAAAAAAAAAAAAGTGAGGAGTGAGAATGTAGATTAGATTGTAAGCTCCTTCAGGCAGGGCCCTCTTCACCCACTGTTTCAGTAAGTCAATCATGTTTTATCAGAATTTAATGTTTTTTTTTTTGTTTTTTTTTACCTATTGTACAGCGTTGCAGGATATCCTCCTGAGACCCAGCCCATCAACTTGTGTCCTCGGCACTGGACATTTGGTTCACATGCATCTCCTTTTATTCTTTTGAGCTACTCTATCAATCCCTGCTGTATTGTAAAGAGGACATCATGGGTTTCCCAGTGATATGTCGTGTGTTAGGCTGGGATGCTGAGAACTTCCTCTTCCTTTTCATCAAATATGGAAAGCAATTTTTTCCCTCAGTTCCCAAGAGGATATAAATAATTGTATTGTACATTGTTTGACTTTGGTCATATAAGCATAGTGGTACCAAGAGAACTGGCACTCCTGAAAAGCGTTGGTGAAAATCCAGTCATCACGGCTGAGTCCATTAATGTTGGCTTATTGGAGAGTACCACTTAATTAACAAAATGAGAAGCATAATGTTATATTAAAATACATGAAATGGCAAGTCTCCCACTATTCTTCACCCTTTCTGATAAAACAAAATAAATAAATGCGGATTTGGCTTTGAAAGTCTGACACAAGCAGAATGGTTTATGGAAGCCTGAACAGAATATTACCACTTTTCAGTCTGTACAGCATGTGTCTGCGGCTCTTGGTCCATTTTGATGTAAAAAAATCATTGCTGAAAAATTGGTTAAATGGGTTGTATGGAGAGGGTATGGGGAAATTACAGGAGCCCAGACATAAGATTAATTTAATACTATGAATTCTGTCTATGCAAGAGGTAGTCCTCCCAGATAGTCATTATTGAGGGGGTTCAGAATCCTTCAGTAGATGTCAGAGTACGGTACCTTGAGATCCATAGAAAGTCCCTAGCCCTACTTAAAATCCCTATGGGAGATTTTTTTATCTGAAACAATGGAGTGAATGTGGGTGATGGCATAGGGATAAGATTAAGGGGTAAACTGGTATTTGTTGATAATGATCATGTAAAATAAAATCTGGAAAATGTGTTCTGTAACTTAAAAAGTAAGGATTTTTTTTTATTTTTTTTTAAATTTAGACCACAACAACATAACTGGAAACATTCAAGTTGCCTTGGTTTTTAGTTTAGCTACTTTGGCTAAAAAATGTAAGTTAACATTGAATTCACACTTCCTGTGGGAGGTCTTTTCTGCTCTACCTTGTCCGTCAATGCTGGGAGAAAAAAAAATTTTTAGGTAAGTTTTTCTCCTAATCTATAGATTTGCTAGCACAATGAATAGATATAATTTTATGCTCAATCTAACAAGTTTAAATTGTTTGGGGCACGAAAGGGCCCCCTTAATTTAGTCAATCACAAGAATGATTATTTCCATATATAGCTGCACTACTTTTCCGTACTGTACTACCATCTATTGGACAGTCTTGAAAAAAAAAAAAAAAAAAATCAAAATCAATTTTTACGATTATTTTATATATTTATATAGTACCAGCATATTCCGTAGCACTGTACAATAGTTCTCAACTTATTAAAATTCTGCGTTTAGTGAACAAACTCATGTGTATTGGAAATCAAACTTCAAAGCTTATGATAGTTCCAACACACCTAATTTAGTCTTAATTTTGTCTTTAGGCTCTCAGTTTACCATTTTGTGTTTATATTTGCTCAAACTGGGGATTTTTTTAAGCATAGACCAGGGACTTTTACAATTTATAATTAGACCTCATAATTAACTTTACAGCTTGTGTGTTTTTATTTTAGTTGCAGACATATTTGGAATTTGGCTATTTTGGTTTAAAGGGACACTATCGTCACCAAAACAACTTCAGCTTAATGAAACTTTTGTGTATACATCATGTCTTGGAAGTCTCACTGCCACTTAGAAGTTATATCACTATTGTTCTGGTTTATGCAGCCCTAGCCACACCTCCCCTGGCTGTGACTGACACAGCCTTAATGGAAACAAAATGGTTCCATCTTCAATTAGATGTAACTTACTTTAAAATATTTTATCTACTGCTCTTTAGTCACATACAGGAGGCTCCTGCAAGATCTAGCAAGCAATTAACAGAGCAGGATACATGAAATTCTAAATTAAACAGGATTTGCAATAAAGGAAGTTTAAACATTAAATGACTCCTTACAGGAAATGTTTAGAAAGGCTGTGTAAGTCACATGCAGGTAGGTGTGACTAGGGCTGCATAAACAGTGATTTAACTCCTAAATGGCAAAGAATTGAGCAGTGAGAAAACAGGGCAATGATCTATTCACCAAAACTACATCATTAAGCTAAAGTAGTTTTGGTGACTATAGTGTCCCTTTAATAATAAACTTCTTTGGTTTACTGCTGTAAATGGAACACAACTGGTATAAAGGGTGGGAGAGGGAACGCAGTGTGCATGGTAATTTGTGACCTATGCAGTGTGTTTAAAATGAGCAATAATAAATCAGGTTTTAAAATCTTTATTCCAAAACAAGTAATAATTTACAATTTCAAACTAAAGCATCACATATTTATTTTTCTGAAAATATAAACAAGTTGGAACAAAGTGGAAAAAAGCAAGGGAAAAAAAAAAGCACCATCTGTGAACATCAACGAGCATCAAATACGACCACTGAAGAATGCATAATTAAGGAAAATTTACATTAAAAACATGGTATAAAATGTGCAACATGCAATTCTTGTGCTATTCAGACAAATTCATACAATGATCACACGATCAGCAAGCATGACAAAGAGAGAGAGTCCTAAGTTAAAACTTAAAGCGGCACGGTCAGCCAAACTTATCTTTCTCCGGTTTCCTCGTTTCTTCCTCTCTCAGTTCTTCTTTTCTTTATTTCTGGTCTAGTTTTCTTTAAAACATAAAACAAAAGTAGGGACTAGTCTTTTGTATTTTTCCTATTCTTGACTTTCTTTGACCAAAGGATGAGTTTAATTCAGCTCCATTTCCTGTGTCAAAGAATGCACCCACCCTTCTTCTTAAAGGACCACTCTAGGCACCCAGACCACTTCAGCTTAATGAGGTGGTCTGGGTGCCTGGTCCAGCTAGGGTTAACCCATTTTTTCATAAACATAGCAGTTTCAGAGAGACTGCTATGTTTATGAATGGGTTAAGCCTTCCCCTATTTCCTCTAGTGGCTGTCTCATTGACAGCCGCTAGAGGCGCTTGCGTGCTTCTCACTGTGAAAATCACAGTGAGAGCACGCAAGCGTCCATAGGAAAGCATTATGAATGATTTCCTATGTGACCGGCTGAATGCGCGCGCAGCTCTTGCCGCGCGTGCGCATTCAGCCGACGGGGAGGATAAGAGGAGGATAGCTCCCCGCCCAGCGCTGGAAAAAGGTAAGATTTAACCCTTTTCCCCCTTCCAGAGCCGGGCGGGAGGGGGACCCTGAGGGTGGGGGCACCCTCGGGGCACTATAGTGCCAAGAAAACAAGTGTTTTCCTGGCACTATAGTGGTCCTTTAACATACGGAATGAAGTGGACTTAAGCTACTCCTTTGGTCAAAGAAAGTCAAGAATTGAAAAAAAAAAATACATAAGACAAAGCAGTCCCTACTTTATGTTTTAAAGAAAAAATTAGATCAGAAAAGAACAGATTCTGAGAGAGGATGAAAGGAGGAAACAATAGGAGAGAGGTAAGTTTGGCATGACAGTGCCGCCTTAAAAGGGAAACTAAGGGCACTATAATTCACTGTATTGTTCTGGTGCAAAGAAACTATCCCTGCAGTCTCAGAAATTTAAACGCTGACTTTTCTAAGAAAACGCAGCGCTTACATTCCTTCCTAGGGATACATCTAGGGGCTCTCACTCAGCCACTAGAGGCAATTCCTGTTGCAGTCCTGCAATGTGTGTAAGACTCATATGTCAAGTTTTGTCACTTTTCATGAAGAAAATGAATGTTCACCATAGAGATGCATTGAGCTAATGTATCTCTATGAGGAGATGCTGACTGGCGCAGCGATTTACAAACACTAGCGTCACTAACAGTTCTTCTGTTCTGATTGGCTGCTGACATCACATGATCAACAGTTTTGTATTTTTATCAAAAAGCTCATGGTGTGTGAAAAATTAAATGTACACTAAGCAATATTTGTAAGTTTGTACAAATAAAATGTACAGTAAGCATCATTTACCTAATGGAAGTATTGTTTAACTCATTTACCTAAAGAAATATAAGACCTACATTTAATGAGGATTTTATTCACCCATTAACCATGCGCTCTCATATACTGTTAATACAATAGATTACAAGGGATTTAAATTACAGGTGGTCAGACTCAAGCTAAGGGAATTCTATTAAAGGACCACTACAGGCACCCAGACCACTTCAGCTTAATGAAGTGGTCTGGGTGCCAGGTCCATCTAGGATTAACCCTGCCTGCTGTAAACATAGCAGTTTCAGAGAAACTGTTATGTTTACAAATGGGTTAATCCAGCCTCTAGTGGCTGTCTCTGACAGCCACTAGAGGCGCTTTCGCACTTCTCACTGTGATTTTCACAGTGAGAAGACGCCAGCATCCATAGGAAAGCATTTAGAATGCTTTCCAATGAGACTGGCTGAATGCGCGCGCAGATCTTGCCGCGCAGTCGCATTCAGCCGATGACGGCAGAAGAAGGAGGAGAGTCCCCAGCGCCGGGAGGGAATTTAACCCCTTCCTCACCCTAGAGCCTGGCGGGAGGGGGACCCAAGGACCCTATAAACCCAGGAAATGAGCATGTTTTCCTGGCACTATAGTGGTCCTTTGAGAGACTGTTGTTCAGATGTAAAACTTGTTCAGCCGCAACAGTCATTTGTGAAGTCTAGTGGCTCCTTAAGTTAGTAACAGTGGCACTATACTTTACTACCTACCATATTTTACGTATGTTTTGTAAAAAAGAATTTTTTATTTTTTTTTATGCCTTTGTGTCAACTCCGCTTTGAGTGCAAGGAATTTTTCATGTGTGCAAAGTCAATTTGAAGGGACCCTGCGTATGCACCATGAAGAGATAACACAGGAACAGGGAGTAAAAAAAATGATATGGCTACATGGTATCTAATGTTGCAAGACATATAAGATGAACTGCTGGGGTATGGGATCTAATGCGCAAAATATACACTCAATAATATTAGAGTAAAGTAGTGCCTTAGCATTACAAAAAATAAAGATGGTGTGGTTTGAAGGTTATACAAGATTCCCATCTTCACGTTCAGAAAATGTAATCATGAATAATAACTGTCTCTGTGCAAATACAGACCTAATTAGCATCTGCTTCTTATATACAATGGCAGGGGACCACAATTCCAGAGCACTAGGCGAAAATCACTGGACCCATAGGCCATAATTTGTCTTTTTTTTTTCCTTCTTCTTTAAACATGCCTCTATTATAATGCAGAAAAAGGGGTGGGAATCAGTATAGTCAGATTAATGGTTGCCATTGTTTGGTGCATCTCTTCTTCCCATCACTCCTTTTTACTACCTTTTAGTGAAATGATCTATGGTTGGAAATAATTCCTTGCTCAGCTAATACGCAAACAAGAAATTCATAAAAATAAAGGATACATCTTTTGGTTCTTTTCTTGTACATAATTCTGTAACCACATTCTCTGCATCTGATTGGATCTCTGGCCTTTATCTCATTTTCGGTGTGGCATTCTGAAATAGAAAAGGAAATAAGTTTGCATGCAGATACACATTCAACATGATCACTGCTTCAAAACTATATAAGTAATTTACAAAATAGTTCACAAGGTGGCATCTCCTCATGTGTAGAGGCAGCCAAGGGTGGATCACCTAATTAGACGTTCTTAACTTATAGAAACAGCACCAATACAATTGTAATGCATTTGATAGATGTAAAGCTCATTAATATGCAATTTTTTGCATTCTCAAATCTTTATAGTTCTTGCACAAAAATAAATAGTGTTTAGGAGAAGTCTGCACCAGATGCCTTCCTCCTTAACCAAACCCCTTATTAAAAATGTACACACACATTTTCAGCCCCAAGTGAATTGCTTTTAATTCAAGACCTGGCTGCAGACAGTCAGAGAAACTATAAACATGTAGTGATATCCTTACTATCAGTCTTATTCACTAAAGTGAGAATACAAAATTATTTTCAAATTTAAGGCCAAAATAGCCAAATTGAAAAAATATTTTCTAAGTCAGCTGTGTTTCCGGTTCAGCTACTCTGGCCTAAAATTTGAAAATCCTCTGAATTCTCACGTTCGTGAACAACCCTGTATATGTCTCATTGGGTGTTTTATAAATGCGGATTTGTAGTACAGATCATTCAGTACAGTCAGCGGCTGAGCTTGTGCATACATTTGATAAGGAAGTTTTTTTTCTAGGTTTGGGAGAGGGAAAGGGGGGGACACTAAAAAGACAGGATTATGGTGCAACATTCTGAAAAACATTTACTTTATTTATGCAAAAAACTACAAAGATTTGAGCATGCAAAAATACAAAATATTAAATAGGCCTAAAGGATCTTGCAAGATTTTCCGTAGATAATCTTGTGCATGCGCATAGGCATCTACTGCACATTATGATATCTTCTCCCATCAGTCACTAATACGGATCTCTGGTGGGAAATGTGGCAGGAACTCTGTCTATTGCCAAAGGTGGGCAATTACTTGACACAGTGTAGTATTGTAACTTAATTGGAATTTCAAAGAAAAATGAAAACCCAGTCATAAAGAGATCACAAAGAATCTTTCATTACAAAAAGCTCAGAAGTGACAGCCACTTTAAAAGGCGAGTTCATTATGATATGAACATGTTATTGGGCCTTAAAGGGACAATTATGGAGGAACACTAGGACAAAAAATGTTCAATTGGTTCTTAGATTAGTGGGCGTGCTTTTCCTGAAGCCCTATAAGAGCTGAACAGAATCACACTTTCAGTTTCTCAATTCAGTCTTGACATATCATTCAAATGACTACAGCCACAATTCCCAATTTAGTGCACTACAGTATTTGAGTTCATAAAACCCAAGAAAAAAAATAAAACATTGAACGGCTACATGACAAACATTCTGTTTGGGCCCTTCTAATGTAAACATTATTTATGGAACCTCGCATTACGTACCGAGAGCTCCTTATTTTAAAATTCAATAAGAGGTTCTCAGCAACATAAAAGGTCATTATACTTATTGAAGCTTCTTCTAGAATCTCAGTCCAGAATCTGCTATGATCCATCCATGAACCACATTCTACTTTTGGAATCATTTGTATGGTTTACGTAATAAGCAATAATCAGATAAAATTATGTTTTTAATAAGCTCATTTATGCTTTTACAGTTGAAATTATATTGCCTTATGTGCAATAAAACAAATGATAAAACACAATTAGTTTATGTGGGTCTGCTTTGTGTTTCATTTATTTAAACCTGTAACATACATCTCCACAATAACCAACACAGGGGCATAGTTACCCACTACTAGAGTACTTATAAGTATTTTCACTGTTCTTATTTGTGACACTACTCACGGGGGCATGGTTACCCACTAATAGAGTACTCATAAGTATTTTCACTGTTTTTATTTGTGACACTACTAAACATTTGGCTACAATGGGCTAAGTAAGAATCCAATTGTTGCCCGTTATATTTTCTGTGATTTCTAGTTATTTCAACACATGTAAATAAAGAAACAATCTTCCAATTCCTGCATGTATTGATAACCAAACCAACCCCAGAATATCTGATACCTAACGTTCTCACCTCCACAAATATAGATCATGGGTTGCTGCTTTGGTGGAGGAGCATCCTTCTGCGGTTCCATGGTGCGCCCTACAAATGTATATAGATATAAATATATATAATGTCTTACTTCAGATACGAAATACTGTATTTTAAACAGCAATATTCAGAATATGACAATGCTTTACCTTAAATCGCCGCAACACTGTGCAATGTGCCCAACAAGCTCTATCAGGCGCCTAATGATGACGATTTCCGCAACCTTTCCCGTCACCGGAGGGCGTGCTCAAGGAATAGGTAGCTGAGTGGCCATGTTTGATATGGGCTGCACACTGAGTGGCCATGTTAAGCTATGGGCTGCACACTGAGTGGCCATGTTTGATATGGGCTGCACACTGAGTGGCCATGTTAAGCTATGGGCTGCACACTGAGTGGCCATGTTAAGCTATGGGCTGCACACTGAGTGGCCATGTTAAGCTATGGGCTACACACTGAGTGGCCATGTTTGATATGGGCTGCACACTGAGTGGCCATGTTTGATATGGGCTGCACACTGAGTGGCCATGTTTGATATGGGCTCCACACTGAGTGGCCATGTTTGATATGGGCGGCACACTGAGTGGCCATGTTTGATATGGGCTGCACACTGAGTGGCCATGTTTGATATGGGCTGCACACTGAGTGGCCATATTTGATGTGGGATGACACAAGTGGCTTGATGTGTAATAGCAGCATACTAACTAATTGGGGTGTAATATTTAATATGGGTTTAATATTTGAAGTGGTCTGAGCTGCCATCTTTAAAGTGGGTAGTGTTAGGTAAATGTGTATTTTTATTCAATACAGCTATGTTCAATTATATAAACAAGTCAGAAAGGTTTATTCAATTTCATGATGCAGTGGAGGTTATATATAAAAAGCATGTCGTTCATTTTGTAGGCTATTTTCCTTTTTTTGTATCTATATATTTCTTTATTTGCATTAAATACTTGTATGATCTTTCCGCACCTCCTTAATCATTTCATTATATTTTGTTCTTTTCCAGTTGTATTTTGGATCCAGGGGAGGTGTGGCTAGGGCTGCATAAACAGAAACAAAGTGATTTAACTCCTAAATGACAGTGAATTGAGCAGTGAAATTGCAGGGGAATGATCTATACACTAAAACTGCTTTATTTAGCTAAAGCAATTTAGGTGACTATAGTGTTCCTTTAATTCTTCTGCCAATGTGGGAGTGGTGGGTTTTCCTTTACAGGTAAACAGTGTTCATGATCTTCCTTTGTTTTTGTTTTTTTTAATGTATATAAAAATTCCTTACCCTTTTTGTTTTCCATATCCTCTCCCATGGGGAAAAAAAAATAAAAATGTAATTTAAAAAACTTCAAAGCGTGAATATACTTTTTTTCCCTGTAGTAATATTACTGATTTGTGTTTTTGTTTATTTAATATAATCAATGGTAAAATCATAAACAAAAAAGGAGCTAGACATCTAAGATATTCCACTGTCTTCTTACACTGCTGCTCTGGGATGACAACGAATGGCTACCCAACCTTCTCACCTTTGTTTAGAATGTTGGTGAGGGTCAGGTCTCTACCTCTCCTCTCTGGTTACATACCACCCACATTTCAAATGGGCAAAGAGGAACACTTTCATTTTAGGGGTGTGAGTGGGGGTGTGGCCCGGGGCAGGATATTCTAAGAAACTTTAGGTGACTTACTAATGACAATTTATGCAATTTGTAATTGGAAAATGTAATTTAGAAAAAGAACAATGTATCCTATTTACACAAATTGATTTCTAAACAGATTTATTGTCGTTTACATACACATTACTGTGAGTATTATTTTGGGGAGCTCTGTTCACATTCAAACACAGCAGAAAAATGGGGCTCCTTGAAAAGTTGGACATTGGAATAGAAAAGATGGAGAGAGGATTTTGGGCCCAAAATAGGAACTGCCCGTTTAAATAGGGACACTGCCAGGGGCAGGCTGACATCCAGTCATGGACCAAGGAGATAGGATGTTACATGATATACCATCCCCTCCACTACCACAAAGGACCACATAAGAGAGCAGCATCCCAGCTGTCATGGAGGCACAGTGTATAGATTGTGGGTACTATGATGACCAGCGGGAGATACTCTGCTGTTATGGTTGCCAGATCCATGCTTCTCTGCACATATATACAGTCCCATCTAAATTGAAAGGCTAGAATTAGAAAATCATGTATTTTACTAATAAGAATTTGTGCAGCATATGAATTATACATACTACAGGGCAGCAATTTTCATGTTCTGCCCATCAATGTGCATATGTGGTATGCTTCCAGGAACATATTGCTCAATATGGCAACACTGGATGGGAAAGAGGGAACACTTACAAAATACACTACAGCATTAACACATACTAAATACATGTGTTCGTATACACTGCACACAAAAACATCTTTGCATCTACATGGTGGTATCGTTAACAATTCGAACCTTGTGCTCACACACTGCCATAACATGCATATAAAATCCTGCATTTACACACACTGGCTCTACATTAAAAAAAAAAATTGCATCCTCACAAAACATACAAATACAAGCCTGTCAGGCCCTGCCACTATATCTAATGCACCCCTACATTCAGACATATATTGTGAAGCTATAGATCAATACACACATTCACAAACTAATTCCTGTGCGCTCCAATGCAACATTGAAATCATATCTACATTCAAACTGGCAGTCTGGCACTAGCACTAACAAGCAGCTGACATATCTACATTCACACTGGCTCTAACACTAACAAGCAGCAACACTAAGCTGACATATCTACTGCTTTTCTAGACACAGTTCCACACATATATACTAATTCACTCCATTTCAGCATCCAAGTTTGGCTTGATGGAGGCTAATCACTGGAAATATATCAGCGCTCACATGCCTTAGTGCAGGGGTAGTCAACCTTTTAATACCTACCGCCCACTTTTATATCTTTGTTAATATCTTTTTTTAATATCTTCCCGCCCACCAGTGCCACAGTAACTAATATTTTTTAGACCAAGTGCAAATTTTTTTTAATATAAATATGTACTTAAATGTATCTATTTTGTTTCCCTTTTTTCTATTTTCTGTTCTATTTTTTCTATGTATGTCTGTGAGGTGCTGTATGTGTAAAGGGTGCTGTATGTGTGAAGGGTGCAGTGTGTGTGTGTGTGAAGGGTGCTGTGTGTGTATGAGAGATGCTGTGTGTGAGGGGTGCTGTGTGTGTGTGAGGGGTTATGGTAGGATGTGGAACTGCACTCTGTCCCTTTAAGTAGTATGTAGCTGGGTGCAACTCAGACAGGCTCAGCACCAGAGACTAAATGCTGAGTAACAAAAATAGAAGAAAGGTCCAGGCACTCCAAGGTACCAACCAGGCAATTTTATTGAACCCACTCCATCACAACAAAAATAGAAGAATCGTCCAGGCACTCCAAGGTACAAACCAGGCAATTTTATTGATGGAGTGGGTTCAATAAAATTGCCTGGTGTGTACCACCACTTTATCTCATATAAATGGTCTGGGTGCAATGTCCCTGTACCACTTAGTCCTGCAATGTAAATCATTGCAGTTTCTGAGAAACTGCAATAATTACCTTGCAGAACTAAGACTGCCTTCAGTGGCTGTCAATCAGCCACTATAGGCACTTACTGGAAGCTAGTGGACTCTAGGTCCCCTAATTGACACTGGGTGTCCGCATGCTCTGCATGAAGACATCTAGCATCAGTGAAATCTTTCTTCTATTTGTGTGTGTGAGGGGGCAGTGTGTGTGTGTGTGTGGCAGTGTGTGCATGTCTGAGGCAGTGTGTGTTTGAGGCGTACAGTGTGTGTGAGGGGGCAGTGTGGGGCAGTGTGTGTGAGGGGAAAAGTGTGTTTTTAGGGGGGCAGTGTGTGTTTGAGGGGTGTGGTGCAGTGTGAGGGTGCATTGTGTGTATGTGTGGGGCAGTGTGTGTATGTGTGAGGGATACAGTGTGGTTGAGAGGCAGTGCGCGTAAGGGGGCAATGTGGGACAGTGTGTGTGTGGGGTACTGTGTGTGTGAGGGGGACAGTGTGTGTGAGGGGTACTGTGTGTGTGAGGGGGACAGTGTGTATGCGGGGGGCAGTGCATGTGTGAGGGGGCAGTGTGTATTTGTGTGAGGGGTGTAGTGTGTGTTTGTGTGTGTGAGGGGTGCATAGGGTCTATGTTGTGTGTTGGTGGGTGAAATGTGAAAATCTATCTTAATGTCTTCCCTCCCTTCTTCTTACCTTTTAACAGGGCGGGGGAACATACTGCTGCAAGCCCTGGTAGTTCAGTGGTGGCACATTCACTTCAGCCTGCAGCATCTCCGGCTGCAAGTTGACTCTCCTGTCCTCCCGTGAGCACAGCACTGTACCAGAGCGTTGCCATGGTAACACGGGACAAAGCTCTGGCCCACCTACTTACGGGAGGAGCACAGAGCCTCCAAGGCCCTTCCTTTCCTCTGCTGGAACTAAGTACCAGCGGGCCGGTAAGGGAGACCTTTGATCTCCTTACCGGCCCGAGAGGGCTCACAGCAAGGCTGGCTCTGCATGGGCCAGCAGGGGAAATGAGAGGATGTCCCCTGCTGGCTTGCCTATGACCATCGCGGCCCACCTGGCATTTTCCACCACCTGAAAACCGAATTGCTCACTAGTGGGCGGTAGGGACCAGGTTGACGCCCCCTGCCTTAGTGCAAATGTAACATTTTCCAAAATCATAATGTTGCCCCATGAATAATTAATTGATTTCTCTCTAGCAGTATATGAATTCAGAATAGTACTTTTCATGAAACGCATAGAATGATGAAGTGATATGTGACCAGAATAACATAGTTGATGCTGGAGACTAACGTTTCATTTTTAAAACATGGAACTTGATAAATTATCCAGTTTGTTTTATTATTTCGATGATGAAACTTCCAAAGGGATATTCACTAAAAAGGGTTATTTACTAAGGGATTTTTACATTTTAGGCAAAAACGGTTGAATTGGAAAAATTCTCCAAGCCAGCATTATATTCAGTTTGCCTGTTTGGCCTAGATTTTAAAATTCACTTTGAATTCCTTGCAATGCATACTTCAGATAATAACGTCTGGTAGTATAACCCTACTTGGTCATTGGGAAATCTAAACTGTTTCAAAAATCTCATGACTTCTACTTTAAATGTAAGTGATTCTAAGGTAGGCACCTCAGCAGTATAAGAGATTTACATGCACAGCAAACCTCTGACTATTATAAAATGTAAATCTGATTGCACAAAATGTTTAATAGATATTAGTTATGTGTATATTTTCAAGGGACACTATAGTCAACCAGACCTCTT